CCCCCAGAGACTCACCATCCACCGACCACATCCTACGCCCCAACTCATACCGCCAGCGCTTCGCCCTATACACAAAAACCGACGAGTCCCTGCTCCCCTACTTCCGACAACCCATCATCGCCCTCTTCACCTTCCCCGCGGTGACCTACACAGCCATCACATACGGCACGACGCTCGCCTGGTTCGCCATCTTCACCTCCATCCAAGCCACATATCTCATCGAGCCGCCGTACAGCTTCGACGCGACAGGCGTGGGCCTCATGAACATAGCCCCGTTCATCGGGGGCGTCGTGGGCTTCTTCCTCGGCGGGTATCTCAGCGATGGGATGATTGTGCTTTTGTCGAAGCGGAATGGGGGCATTTATGAGCCGGAGATGCGTCTTTGGCTGGCGCTGCCCGTGGCTGTTACCAATCCGGCGAGTTTGTTGATGTTGGGGCTTGGGCTTGCTTATGTATGGCCCCTTTCTTCCGACCGCACCACTAAAAGACGATGTTGCTCCTTGTTGTAATGGGTCTGGCTAATACAGCACAAGGAATCACACTGGAGTGTCATAGCCGTAGGATACGGCATCTTCGGCTTCGGATTCGCCATTATCAGCGAGACGACGCTCTCCTACCTAATGGATAGTTACCAGGACGTGAGTTTCCTCGCTCTTTCCTCCCTCAACACATCCATCCCCCCCCCTGTAAAATAAATAAACTAACCTCCAACCCTTGAATGAACAGATAATCGGCGACGCCCTCGTAGGCGTAATCTTCACGCGCAACATCCTCTCCGTAATCGTGCTGTTCGTGCTCACACCCTGGGTAAAGGGCATGCACATGCAGAACACGCACATCCTGATCGCGGTCATATGTTTCGTGGTCCTGCTGCTGCCCGTGCCGCTGCTACTGTGGGGGAAGAAGGCGCGTGTGTCGACTGCGAGGAGGTACAGGCGGATGGCGGCGAATCAGCCTACGCATCGGGCTGCTTGATTGGTATTTTATGAATTGTTGTTGTTGTTTTCGGGTTTTACTAGGCGTTGGATGGCTTGTTGATTTTATATTATACTTTGGTGGTTATTGCTTGATATTTTGGATGAGATATACTGGGATTGATATTTGCGCAAGTTGTCACGAGGATTTAGGAGCGTTGTAGATGATTAGGGTGTCACAGTCAACTGTCAGGTCGGGACTCGGGTGCCTTGTGGGTTTTTTTGTGGGTGTAGTGGACACTGACACCTCGGAGCCGGGAGTTGGTGGGATTTTTGTGGACTCGGGAATGCAGGGATCAACAATATGTTCAACTTTTGCTGTTGGTAAATTTTGCGAGTTTCGTGGTAGAAAGGGCTTGGGATTTTCTTGTCGAGGTTCTTTTCGGCTTCTGGTTTCTGTCGATGGCTACTTTAGGTCCATGTCCCCCGGGATAGTACGATACGAATGGAGGGAAGGTCCTTCGGGACTGCCATGTAGGCATTGATTGGATGGATCAACGAGCTTTGGACAATGTGTTCCACGAGATTATATTGTGTGTTGCTAACTAATAATGGTTCGTCTTGCAATTCCTGTAATCTTCAAGCCATTATTAGCAGCCGATTCATCTTCCGATTAGACGAAACCACAAGAACAAGAGTTGACATTGGATCAGATATATAGAGGTAAGAATGCATAAATATCACCACGGAGCACTGGTAGATGCCCTCAGATGGGGTTGAAACAAAGAAATAAAGCAAATCATCATTGACATGCAGGTAGAAAACCATATCAAAACACACGTACCATTCATTAGTAGAGGGGATCGGATTGGAGTGTTAGCACCATGACCACTGTGCTCATGAATGACAAGCCATTGGCAGCGCCATCAAGCTGCGAGGGTCGAGAAGACCAGCTTCTCTGTCTTTTGGAGAAATTCGAAGGAAAGATTTCAGGGGAGCAGTTTGGTGGGATTTTAAGCGCGGCGGATTAGCGCATCATGTGACCCAACCGGAGGAACTGATATTCCATAGTGCCGATTCCATTAACAAATGGAAATTATGGCGGGATTGAGAGACGGTTGATTGGATGGAACACCGTCTGTGCTGTGTCCAGGTACTGCGTGGAGTGCAGATTCGTGTCGAAGTGTGACTCGCGTGGAGCTGAAATCCAAACCCGGCCATATGGCATGTCCCGGTGTAGGGTAAGAGGCTTTGCATGCAGTGTCTCAATTGGCGTCGTCCAACAGATCCCAGATCAGCTTCGACTTATCCTGCGGTGGCTCGGCCGCTGCTGTGGCTTTCCTGGTCTCTTCGTCGACAGCAGCATCCACGTCAATTCCTTGGCTCTTGAGTCGGTCCAACGCACTCGTGACCTCGGCCTTGAGCTTGTCCATCTCTTGAATTTCCTCCCGGGTGCGACTCAATTGTTCTTCCATCATTGTAATTAGGGACTCCCGGGCTTGATGTGGCCGGTACAGGTTCAACAGGTGATGCGCATTGACGAACAAGTTGCGCAGGTCCTCCACTTTGGACTCGTATTGCTCGGGCGTGATCGAGAGTACGCCGACAAACTCGAGGAAGTTCAGCAGGAGGGATTTGCTGATTTTGAGAAGGTAGTAGGCGTGGTTCAACGGTCGCGCTGGTTCGGAAGACGGTTCGCGGTCGGCTTCCCCGCCGGAAGAGGGGTAAAGCTGGGTGATGCCTTGGTCTTTTAACTCGGGGAGGGCGGTTGAAAGCTGCAGACGCTCGAACATAAGCATACTTGAAGAAAGGGCTAGCAGTGAGAGGTCTGTAGTACTCACATTTTGGACCTCTCCGAAGACACTGTATTGTCCTGACGTAGGAATGTCGGGAGGGACGAGGAGACGCAGCTCTGGGGGGAGGTCCAGCGAGCGCAATTCCGCAGCGGTCCACTTCTTCTTCTGTGGTTTCCCATCCTCGCCCTTGGACGCTTCTTTCTTGATCTGTTCCAGCTTTTTGAGGTTGTCTGGCGTGAAATGTTTCCATAACGGAGGTGGTGGAGCAAAGGCCGTGGTCAGTGCTCGCTGCTGTCCGTCGGCCATGGCGTTGGCCGGTAAGTTGGAAAGCGAATAGAGTTTTTACCGGACCGGATACCCTCTCTGACGGTATACGACGGAATGACGCGTTGTCAGGAGGAAGATAGAATATGGTCAGGTACGACAGTGCACATCGGAATGAGCAGACCCATGGTGTTGAACTGGACCGTGCGCCAAGGCGGCGAGAGAAGTCGGGATTGGTCTGGAATGTTTTTTGAGCTTTGCCCGTCTGGGAATTCCGCTTCGTGACCAGTTCGTCTGATCCCAACCTAGTGATTATTGCGCCTCGTCCAGTCTGTCCACTTTCCCCCTCTTCTGCATGATGTCGCGCTGTGTCTGATTTTATTTTGGACTTCTTTTTATCCTGATTCTTTTCCTCGGCTTCATATAGTTACGATATGCGATCCAGCCAGCCCGGAGTTCCTGGGGTGTTGGCCCGCTTCTACCAGCGGGCCTCCCCGGTAATGGACTTTGTGGCCTTAGCGGTCATCTGGGGGAGTTCCGTTCTGGTAAGACACTGGTGGATGTCAGTAGTTGAGATGAGAATCTGACAACCGTCATATGGGTGTAGATCCAAAAGACGTTGAAACCGTCTCCTCGCTTGTTCATGCTAGACGACAAGGATATTCAACACCCTTTAACTTCCCATGAAAGGGTGACCGTACGTAAGTGATTGATTGATTCCTTATATACTAGTCAGGATATGGAACTGATATTGAGCGTTGGTAGAACTATCCATGATCTACGCCGGACTGATTCCTCTCCTCACTATCATCGCCTGGGCCGCCCTGACCCGTCCCAGTCGCTATCAGATCCAAGTGACGCTGCTTGGCCTTTTCACGTCGCTGATGCTGTCCTCTCTCCTCACGGATATCATCAAGAACTCGGTTGGACGTCCTCGTCCAGATTTGGTCGCGCGCTGTCTCCCTCAAAAAGGCACCCCGGAAGATGTCTGGGTCTCGTTGTCTGTGTGCACCCAGGAGAATAAGGGCATGTTACTGGATGGTTTCAGGAGTTTCCCCAGTGGTCATAGCAGTTTCTCGTTTAGCGGACTGGGGTACTTTTCGTTGTGAGTTCCATAGTCGCAGCAGTGCTAGTATAGACCATGTCGCTGACTGCTGCTTTCAGCTTCCTCGCCGGTCAAATGCGCGTTTTCCGGCCGAGATCCGACCTCTGTCGCTGTCTCCTAGCCTTCCTGCCACTGTTTGGCGCGTTCTTGATTGGACTTTCCCGCCTGGCTGATTACAGACATGATATATACGACGTGACCACCGGCTCCCTCCTGGGACTGGGCGTCGCCTATTTCACCTACCGGCGGTTCTATCCCTCTCTGGGCTCCGTCACGTGCGATGTGACCAAAGACCGCGATGAGGACCTGAGCACATCCGGCTTCTCGAAACTTCCTGATGACGAGGAGCAGCAGATCCGCGACGTGGAGGAGTATCAACTGGATGAGGCATCCTCATCTCGCGGACCGTGAACGGCCGCTGCTTTCCCCCGCTTTATGATACCCCTTTATGCGGATCTCATTTGGCATCTATTAATTCTTTCTGTACCTAGCTTACTGTCCACCATGTATTGGTGGTTCGGATGCCTGGCCCTTTCTTCACCTATAGCTTTTTTTGTCTATTTGTATATATAATGTCGTTTCGCCTTCCGGTCTCGCATTTGACATGGAGTCACGAGCTACAATTTTTGACATACACCTTTAAATTTATTAATAGAAAAATTCCGTGAAGCCATGGGAAGCCGGATACTCTGATTTTGGGAGGTCTACACTGCCTTTTTCCTGCTCTTTGCGGCGATAAAATCGCGAATATTCGCCCCGTAGTCACCTATATGCCTGAGGCACGAATTGTGACAGACGGCGATTGGCGGACGCGATGGAGACGAAACTTTGGGCGATTCTCCACCGGCCTCCCTTATCGATTGAGCCCCGTTTCCAAAGACGTACGTTCATCAAGCCCAAAGGGTTTGCATAACCAACACTCCTACTTTCTGGGGGCTCACTAGTTGTGCTACTTTACCGCAAAACTCCACCGGCTCTGCTTTTCTATACCCCAGCCATTGCAGTCTCGCTCATGATCAAGATCTGATCACTGATAGACATCGGTCACGCCACCCATTCAGCAATTCCACGTCAGAAGAGCAAACCATGTAAGAAAAACCAGCGGAGATGCCGCGCAAAAAGCCCACAGAAACCACCAAACCTATAAAAACTCGCAGCCGCGGCAGCTGCAAAGAATGCCGTACGAGCCGGGTGCGCTGCGACACTAAGAAACCGGCGTGCACGCGCTGTTGCGAGCGGGGCCTGACATGCTCCACGGATCTTGTCCTCAAGTGGGAGTCTGACTTTGCGAGCCGCGGGTTGGCGTTTGGTAGAGCGGGCGTTTGGAGGAAGGATGGTTCAAAGCTCTCCCCACCGGCTTCTTCTTCTATCTTGGGCGGGGACGAGCATGCGTGGTGTGTTCTGCCGCCGATAGAAAGATGGGGTTACGTGAATAGTGGAGTGGGGAGTTTTGAGAGGCCGGATTGGGTTGATGTTGTTGCCTGTGAGGATGAGGTAGAAGGGATTCTGACCCCTGTTTCTGACTATGATGGGTTGAATCGAGAGCCACAGGGAGCAGTGTTCAAACGGCTTCCCTCGCCGGCGCCTTCGTTGGCCTTGTTCCCCCAAGTTTCGGAGTCTTCTGGCCATCTTTTCGAGTACTATGTCCAGCAGGTGTGCCCGCGGACCACAGCTAGCTCAAAGCAACCGTCTCCGTTTGCGTCTATCATCCTGCCCTTCTCTCTGTCTGCATCGTCGACGCTATTCTCGGCGATACAGGCCTTGGGTGCATGCCATCGCTCGCGCTTTGATGGCTCGTACAGAATGGTCGGGCTACGGCACAAGGCAGCCGCGCTGAAGGGTCTACGGCAGCGGCTCGCGACAGCGTCTACAGCAAGCTGGGCTACGGATCCGGAATTACTCGCTGTCATGGTGATGCTCTGTCTATATGAAATTGTGGACAACTGTTCCCAACAGTGGACAGTTCACCTAAAAGGCGCCAAGGATTTCATCCGCCTACGGCGACGACAGCAACAGCAGCAAAAGACCTTATCGAAGTCGCATGATGCCCAAGACTCCGTGTCTACCTTTGCGGAGCGTTTCTTCGCCTTCCAGGACGTCATGGGCCGGACCGCGTGCGGGGAGAAAGTCCTCTTCGGAAGTGACTACTGGGCGGAGAACGAGCGCACTATCGACCTGTGGATGGGGTGTAGTCCCGAACTAGCATCCATCCTATCCTACATCACAGAGCTCAGTCGCACGCGACGACAACTAGACTCTGATTCCGCACGCGCGCAATTCTCCCTCCGCGCCGCCTCCCTAGGAACCAAACTAGAAACCCTAGTCCAGGAGGTCCCCAACGGCGAAGACCAAACCCTCCAGTCCGCCGCAGAGATGAAACGCCTCGCAGCAGTCCTGTACCTGCACTGCGCGCTCTGCGGCGCATCACCAACGACGCCACTAGTCGCCAGCTACGTCCGCCGCATCCTGAGACTCGTCTCTGACCTCCTCGACTCCGGATCATTCGTCAGCATGACTTGGCCTGTTTTCGTCGCTGCCGTGGAGCTGGACCCCGCGCAGGACGAGCTCTGGCTCGAAACTCCCCATCATGCCGCTGCGTACGGGCGTCCGCTCGTGCTGCGTGCTTTGGCGGCCATGGCAGAGTCCAGCGTGTCCAACGTAGCGCGCACTCGCGCCGTAGTTGCTAAGGTGTGGCAGGCTCGCGATGGGGATATGACCAAGGCGCCCCCACTAGATGCGTTGGGGATGAGTGCGAATTGCAATGATTGGGAGTGGTATGTGGCGCCGATTAGCACGGCGATGAGTTTGGCATGATCATTCATGGAAGAGCCCTTGATTCTTGGTTCACAGCCATCTTATGTTGGTTTTATTGGTTGTTGTTGTTTCGGGAGTTATGGAATTGGCTTTAGCGGGATGATTTGTAGGGTTTCTATTAGTTTTTATTATGGTGATTTTCGAAAGACCAGGAGTTCAATGCCAATTGAATTCTATCAGTTCCCACACAAACTGAGCCGATATACATGCTGACACTCCATATTGTACATGACGTTGTCTGCACACCACGTGATCTGAACAGCCACTAAACCAGAATAGGAAAGAGGTAATGCATCTGACCAATCAGCAGCGCAGGCGGGGCACGGCGGGCGTGATTTGCCGAACCCGACGTCAGTGACGATCGGCCTCACATCCATTTCTTATCAACTCGATCCTCTTTCATTCTTCCTTCATTCTTGTCATTATCTTGTTACCTTTGTTTCTTCTCATCTTCAAAGAAATTCCAACTCCTGTTACGAAACAATAATTTTCATTCTGGTTCTCTTGATTGACTGATTTGGTACATACCTTGAGCACAGATTGCAACTCTTCTCGGGACTTTCCCATACTACGTTCGGCCTCAGCGCGTATCCACTCTCCATCACGACACGAACATTTTCCATCAACGCCCCTGCAGGATCAGGTGTCATCATGTTGTGAACTTGTCTGTTCCATATATTGACACGTCAGATTGGTCGTTAATTTTGCAATTATGTCGCCGTTTACGACTTCTTCCAGCGTGTCGCACAGCCTCCCCGGCGTGCCACTCGCCAGCAAGTTGAGCGAGCAGCTATCACAGCGGAGGGACCTAAATGACTCGGGAACCACCTATAATAATGTGACCGAGAAGAACAGTTTACTTGGACCTCCATTGCGCCCGTCACCCAAGTCCCGCTCTCTATCCGACGCTTCGAAACCCACTTCCCGCTCCACCTCCAAATCCGACGAAAGTCGGCCTTCCAGCAAAGATGACATCTCTCTCTCATCCCTCCCCGAAACCCCGCGACGGCCATCCCTAAATCAAGAATTACAACTCCACCTACCCGCGAAGCCCACAACGCCATCCTCGGTGTCTAGCCAAGCCCCCTTATCCCCGAAGCTCGACTCGTCTCAGATCTACGGCTCACCAGGATCGGTCCTCCCTCGTCGCTCGCGGGGGTTGGATTTTTCGCGTGCCTGCACCAACCTCCATCACTCGACACTTGCAGAGTCCTCTCCAGACTCCTCTCCGATCATCGGCGGGCGCGGTGTGCAGATCCCACAACGCCGCGGCTCCATCGGCTCCACCTCAGTTCATCCGTTCTCTACCTCCGGACCTGCGGATCGGGCCACGGTATCCAGTTCCGTCTCGAGCGTCAATATGATAGAATCCGACACCAGTAGCAGTGAGGACGAAGAGGACGAGGCCATGATGGGAGATAGGGACGACATGATGATCACGAATACCCCGCAGGCAAACAAAATGAGTCACGGAATGAGTCCTTTTGCGCCCGGTGGGGTCTCTAGCCCTGGAAATGACTGGATGGGGGGATACTCTCAAGCGGCGACCAGTCTGATGAGCTTCCAGCGAGCGCGATTTCGCAGCAAGGGGGGCCGTAGTAGGCACAGCTCCAGCAGCGCCAGTGGCAACAGCTCTAAGCCCAGCCCTGGTCCGCTGTCCCCGCCGGTGATGAAGAGCATTGAGAACCCGGGTAATGGGTATTTTGGAAGCCGAACTGGGGCGGCCGCTACGCGGAGGGAAAGTTTGAGCTTCGGTGCGCGGGAACTTCGCTTGTCGGACCTCAGTGACGAGGGTGAGGGCCGCGCTGGGCGTGGCCACAGCCCAACTAACTCCAACTCCGAGGGCGGGTACCTTGGGGTCATTCGCCGCGCTGTGACGCGACGTGGGAGTTTATTGGTATGCTCTATCCTATCTATTTTCATCTCTTAGTCGTCTTGGCCCGTACCGGACTCTAACCCTTTTTACAGCCAAAGACAAAGACGTTCGCGCGGATACGAGCTGCATTGATGGAGGAAAGCGCTCCCGTTGACAGCGACTCCAAACGTGAAGCCGAGGTTATTCGACAAGTCCGCGAGAGCGAACCGAGCATTCCGCAGACGTCGCCGGAGATGACAACGCACGACTATATATCGCCTGGCGGAAGCGTGGCCCACCCCGTCGATCTGCCCGGAAAGGCTCCTTCCCACGAGGAGCCGAATTTCAGCGAGCAAGCGCACCGGAACTCCGCCGGGGCCGAATTCTGGAACAATTTCGACGAACGTTACCGCACGCCACCTCCCTCATTCCGACAAGCCGCCGCTTCCTCCGTGTCGGAAGACGAGCTGGCGATGGATTTCACGCCGTCTGCCAGAGCCGGGTCCTCCGCTGGAGAGTTTGCCAAACCTGGAGAGAGACCTTACTCACGAGGTTCTACGCCTCTGCAGAGTCATTCCGCTGCTGTTGCGGAGATTAAACGAAAGCGACGACGAGAGGACGACTTCGACCCCAACCTGTTCAAGCGTCGCGCAGTGTCTCCAAGCATGAGCGCGCAGAGCAGTCCCATCATGCCCAACTCGCCCGCAGTGAAAGATCACAGCTCCAACATCTGGGGACCGCCGCCCAAATCGAACCTGGGATCGCTATTCGCGGATCATCCACAGCCAGACCACGGGTCTCGGAACGCGCCGACCACACCTCACACGGGGACCTTGAAGCGCGTGGGATTGCAGGGGATGACGGAGACCAATGACGGCCTGATGAATATGAGTATCGAGTAGGCATTGCATGGGTAGTAGGATTTTAATTTGCCATCGCTTTTCGATGTTGTTCTTTTTTAGCGTGCACATTCATGGATATGGTATATTGATGGTGTTGTCTAATTGGCGTCTTGGGTGAGATGCTTGAGCGGTTGTGGGATATTTGTATTCGAACTAGCTTAGCGTATAATATGAACCTGCTACATTATGAATCAACCCAAAGACGTAGTCTACAATAAATTTGAAGATACAATCTACATACTGATGGCGGGGACACGTGCCGCGCTTATCGCGCTAGGCGGGCGCTGTTGACATCGGGGAAGCCATCCGTTTCAGGCGTCATCCCCCACTTCTCCAAGTTGAATCTATTCTCTGCTCTATTCCCAAGTGAAACCTTTTAATACTCTCAGACAATCTATCTAAATACTGCCTACCGATCTCATCGCCCCCATGGATCCCACCGTTGAGATCGCATCCTCGTTCATCGAGGGTGCCCCGCCCGGCGAGGTACGTATAGCTTGCTCTCAGGGGATCATCCTAGCTCGACCGTACTGACCTTGTCCAGCTCGGCGATGTCGTTGCCGGTAAATTCATTCCAACCCCACGAAGCTCCAACATCCATCAATTACACCATGCTAATAGCCACCGGTTCCGACAGACATCAAAGCCCTGACCGAAAGCGACGACATCATCCCCTCCCTGGCCCCCGCTTTCGAACGATACAACCACAAACAGCTGACGACCGTCCGACTGCCCGGAGCGAGTCAGGAGGTACATACCTACACAACCATATGTCTTTTGACAAAGACAATGACGGATGGGCAATGCTGACGAGTGGAAAGGTCATCGTGAGCGAATTCAACCGATTGGAAGACGGTCGGTACTTTGATGTTGAGAGTCAGACGTCTTTTGAGGTGGACCATGTTACGCAGGTGAGATGAATATTGAGTTGGGTTTTGTCGAGTGGAATGGGCTGGGATGGGGCTGATAAAGGCGTTGTTGGGTAGGAAGCGACTGGATCGCAGACGTACGGGCTGGAATCGCAGAATGCGGACTTGATGTGAGTTGTCGCCGTGGACCCAGCTACAGCGGTTTAGGAGGGAAAGAATATATGCTGACGGATGGATATAGCAAATCCCTCCTCAAAGCGATGGGTAACCATGCGCGCGAGCACTACCGGAGTTGCTCGTACGGGGTGTACCCAATCGAGAACGACTCCGCCATTGCCATTGTCCTTGTCGCGAACCGCTACTCTCCGAACAACTTCTGGTAGGCCTGCAGTTGTCCCCAGTTTTGGTCCTTGCAACTACATGCTGATGAATGGGGTAGGAACGGCCGTTTCCGCTCCGTCTACACCGTGCCCGTGTCCGAGCCGACGACCGTGACGGGTCAGATCCAGGTGGACGTGCACTACTACGAGGACGGCAACGTATCGCTCAACACGCACAAGCCGGTGCATGCGTCCGTGCCGTCGCTGTCGGCGGAGGGCATCATGTCGCGGATTGGGGCGGCGGAGCGCGATTACCAGGAGCAGCTGAACCGGGCGTTTGTGCAGATGGCGGAGGGGGCGTTCAAGGGACTGCGACGACAGCTGCCGGTTACGCGACAGAAGGTCGAGTGGGAGAAGGTTGGGGGGTACCGACTGGGACAGGATATTGCCGGGGGGCGGTGATTTTAGTTCTCCTTGGGGAAACACACTGTCAACGTCTGCGAGATCAGACGATAGATATACATAGTGGAACTGGAACTAGGGGTACTCCGTAACGACGCCCTTGCAGGGGAAGCGTGCAGACTGCAGAACCTCGGGAGTGAGGCTGATCTTAATCTGGTACATACACGAAACGGGGTCCACACCGCTACTTAATCAACACCTTTCGTCAGTAACTACGGGGTACTCCGGATCTTAGTCTTTGCACTTCCATCAGCAAATTAACTCCTTCCTATCAACCCGACCAAGGGAAAAGACAGACAGACAGACAGACAGATGAAAACGGCCACAGCCACAGCGACCAAACCCACCGGTCCCAAAGTCCAACAGGGGCAAGGGCAAGGGCGCGGCGCGCGACCGCCGTCCCTGATCCAGAAATTCTCCACCTTCACACGCACAGCCGCAGGGCTCGAGAAGACCCTCCGTCTCATCAACGCCACCTGCCAGATCGCGGGTGCTTTGTCGGGTGATGTCGTGACTGCTTCGCGGTGGGGGGCTGCGAGGGGGCAGTTGGCTTTGAGTTAGTATTCCTATCTTCTCCGTATTATGTGGATTCCACATGTATTGTGGGATGTATCACTATTAATATAGAATTAATACTGATATTATGTGATGTTTAAAGCAAGACGATACTTCCGCTTCTTCAACGTTATTGACTGTTTCGCTCGCGTGGCGGGTCTTCTCTCGGGAGACGGCGAGGCTGGGTCTGTGATGGCCTTGCTGGAGATGGCGCGGTGGACGTGTTTGGGGATGTATTTGCTGCTGGAAGATGCTACTATTGTATGTTTCCCCCCCCATTCTTTTCTGATTTATCTCGTGGTGTATTGTTTATATTATTATTATTATTATGATGATGATGATGATGATAATATGGTAACTAACCTGACACAGCTCCACGCAACCAACATCTACCCGGTCTCATGGAACGCGCGCGTCACAACCGAGGCCTATCGGTTCTGGTTCTGCGGGCTGGCGCTGTCCGTGTTAGGGTGTGTATGGGGTGTCTTACTTGGGATTACTTCTTCTTCTAACAAGGCATCCTCCAATGGAGGGTCCGAGAAGAAGACCGAAAAGGAAAAAGGGTCTGTGGCGCAGTTGCCAAGATCAGTGCTTGTCAAGAGGATCATCGTCGATGGATGCGATTTGTTGATTCCAGGGGCGTTTCTGGGGTGGGTTGGCGTTGGGGAGTTGGGGGTGGGCATTGCGATGTTGGTGAGTACGGTTGTTGCAGGGGGGGATTTGTGGGTCAGTGTTACTTCTACTTAGTTTGTCCTTTACATAGAGAGATGTATTGTTTATACTGTGATAGAATGGGTATAGACTTGCAAGGTTAGATGAGTCTGGTCAGTACACATTGCTCAAGATCAGGGCTGTCTACCATTCCTCCATATTAGTACAGCCTTGTGCGGGGATGAAGGATGACAGCCTTGACTGTTGAATCCGAGAGTCCGAGAGCAGCGTCCGAGAGCAGCACAGACTTAACTAGCCCCATGTAGGTCAATGAGTTATATAGTGTAGGAATCATCGTATGACTTCCAGACTCAGTACCGAGATAGATGACATCACGACATCCCCATCCATGGTAACCCCCCGAGCCATGGTAACCACAGCCCCCAATTCAACCAATCCCCAAAACAGTGAATTGAATGTGTTTAAAAAAAGGCCAGAAAAAAATGGAAACCGAGTCCACGAGCTGACGTCGCTTTGCCCCCTACAACCCAATCATGGGTCTGAAATCCTTGCCGATCGCTTTAGCGCTGATGCATCCAGCAGGGCGATGATGCCGATCGATTTTCTTCTCTCACGAGACTTTTGGCTGGGACTGCGCCTTGCGTTCTTTCTTCTCTTTCTTACTTTGATCCTGTGTTGAAAGGGCATTCTTCAATTTTCGTTGGGGCTCAAGCTGAGTATATACACTGCATTGCATTCCTGCGGGTACTCGGCGGGATTTAGACGACCTACTTTGGCAATTACCTCCCTACGCTGTTACGATATTACCTCACGACTTAATTTTTTATTTACTGCCGATTGACTGAGCCCAGCTCACTCGACTACATAAACACCTACATACAACATACAGAAAGACATATTATATACTGATGCCCCCAACCTATCTATAAATCAAAATAACAAAAATGCGCACCCGAGCCTGGACAGCCAGCGCCGGCGCCGCCCTCTTCGTCACAACCGCCATCTCCTTCTACCTCTACTTCTCGCACCTCCTCGTCCCCCGCCGCTGGCGCAAACACAACCGACCAGGGTCCATCTACCGCCCGGTAGAATGGGCCCCGCCGATCAAAAACAGCTACTCGCGGACGCTGGTCGTCGCGACGACGCACGACGTCGACACGAGCTGGGTGCAGCGGCTCGTCGACGAGGAGGACGATTTCTCCAGCGCGGTCTACAATGTTGATGCCGATGATGGGCTGTACGCGCGGAGTTTCAAGCGCGCCGTTCCTCCTTCCTCATTTTCCTCTTCTTCATCCTCATCCTCTCAATCCTCTTCATCCTCCTCTTCATCCACCGCAGCTGGAAATGCGACAACGACAGCAACAACACCACAACCCCCGAAACACACCCTCACCGTCGAGCGCAGCAAGTCCTCCCTCCCACACAACAAGGGCCGCGAAGTCATGGCCTACCTGACCTACATCATCGACCACTACTTCTCCCTCAGCGACGTGAACATCTTCCTGCGCGCAGACCGCACCGACAGCGCCGTCCACGACGACCTCTTCGCCGGCGACGCAGCGCTCATGAGCCGCCGCCTGCAACCCGCCTACGTCCTCGACAGGGGGTACGTCAACCTGCGATGCCAGCACGCGCCCGGATGTCCCGGGATGTCCGTCTCCAGCAGCACCGTCGATCTATCCGAATCAGCGAAGCGAAACGCCGGCGAAGACAGCGCCTCAGACCAACTCGGCAGCAGTCTCAGCGACGCGTGGGACGCGCTCTTCCCGTTCGACTCGATGCCGACGGAGCTGGCGCAGCCTGGCGGCGGGCAGTTCGCTGTCAGCGGGCGGCAGATTCGGCGGGTGCCGTTGCTGGATTATGTGTCGTATCGGGGGTGGTTGGTGGACACGGCGCTGGATGATGAGCTGGCGGGGTCGATGTGGGAGCTGCTGTGGCAGTTTGTGTTCACGGGGCAGGCGGCGCTTTGTCCGGATGAGCGGAGCTGCTACTGCGAGGCTTATGGGGTCTGTCTGGGGGAGGGGCAGTATCGGGTTTTTGCGGATGCGCGGGATCGGTTGGTGAGTTTGCGGGGGGAGGATGGGGGGGCTGATGGTGGGGTGGATGGGGAGGAGATGGCGGGGTTGGAGAGGGAGATGGAGCGGGTGAGAGGGAGGGTGTTGAATCGGTATGATTATGATTATGTGACTGATGAACTTTATTGAATATATCTTTCTATTGTATCTACTTTTATCTTATATTTACGTGGTCATAAAATGTAGAGTAATGTCTATCCAATGCGACTCTATCATGCAAGTATATACACATTCGACATGATACTACATCCCCATACTTTAGTTAAAGACAGCCCCTCATTCAAGTTGAAGAAGAAGCTTGAGCACCCCCCCACCGCTCCGCAACCATCTCCTCAATATGCGGGTTCAGCCAGTATCCCTTGATCGCATCCTGACCCATCTGTCCAGCCCCCGCAATCCAACCCCGACAGACGCCCTCCCCAGCACCACACGAGCACTGGAACGGCTGATCCATCTCCCACTCGGAGCTCGGATAGAAGAAAGTAAGAGCATCACCCTTGTTCAGCGGCCGGTGGTCGACGACACGGACCTCCATGCGGGACATGTCGAAGACGAGGGAGGGGTCGCAGGAGTGGTTGCAGTAGACGAGGTCGGAGTTGAGCTCGATGTGGGAGTCGCGGCCGGTTTGAACGCTCGTGTAGGCCTTCTTCGCCGGGGTGGCCGTGGTGATTTTGGCGAAGAGAGCGCCTGCCGGGAGAGAGACGAGCGAGATGGCGCCGCTGGAGAAGGCGCCGGGTTTGCGGTCGACGTGGAGGATGGTGGGGTGGGTTGGTGGGGTGATTTTGCTGGTGGGGAGGGTGGAGGGGTCCTCTGTTGGGGGAGGGATGGCGATGGGAGACATTTTGACTGAGTTGAGGAGGAATTGAGTGTATAGAGGGGGTGTATGGAGTAGAGTATGGAGTAGAGTATAGGGTAGAGCAGAGAGTAGAGAGAAAGAGGATGTGGGGGAAGGGAAGGAAATGGAGGGGTTATATGACGATGTATAATAGAGTAAATAAGGATTACTATTAGTTGGTATATGAAAGATCCCTTGCACCGAGGTCACGCTGACGATCCTCAGGCCGAATCATCCGGATGGGTGATTGGCCGACTTTAGACCGAGGTTCATCTTTTTTCACCACGGAGATTTGAGCCTGTTGACCCTGGACGGATGCAGAATGTCTCAATGGATAATATACCTCAGGGCGTAATATTCCGTAGCGGACAATGTCAATACTACCTAACCGACTACAGTATGGTCGATTGACACGCTCGATGTCACATGCATGTCCTGCATAGATTGATAATGCGGATTAGTTATGTCGGCCAGGTCACATGCCCCACATGCCCTAACTCCCTTGGGTACCGGTATGCCGTCAGTATAGTAAATCATACTCTGTAAACATACTCAGTAAATCATACTCTGTACTATCATACTCAGTTAATAGTAGATATCAATTCAACCGCGTCGTCAACTCCTCCCCATCCCTCCACCTCGCCAAATTCCGCGCAACCTCCTCATACCAAGCGTGGATCTGCTCATCCCCATACCCCATATGCGGCGTCAACACAACCTCACTCCGTCCCTCCGTCCCCCAAGCCGTCGTCCGCCACGGACTATCCGCCGGCAACGGCTCCAAATCAAACACATCGAGCGCCGCCCCACGAATGCCTCCCCTTGATAGCGTCTCCAACAACGCCATCTCATCCACCAACGGCCCCCTCGACGTATTCACCAGCAGCGCACCCCCCTTCATCCTCTCCAGCTCCACCCGTCCGACCACCCCGCGACTCCGTTCCGACAACACATAATGCAAACTCACCACATCAGCCACCTTGAACAGCTCTTCCTTGCTCTCCGCGCACCGCATCTTTCCCTCTCCCACCCCAATTTCCCTCGCAACAGCGTCCACCTTCTCAGGCGTCAAATTCTCCGACCACGCCACAACGCGCATATCAAACGCCAACACAGCCACCCTGGCCACCTCCGCCCCCAACTTCCCCAACCCCACTAGCCCCAGCGTCTTCCCCGCAAGATTCATCCCCAGCGTCTCCCCTTGCCATGTTTCTCCGCCAGGACGCTTCAGCGCGGCATCGTCCCGGACAACATGTCTCGCCAGCGCCAGGATCAGCGCCCACGTGTGCTGCACCGTGCTGTGTGCGGTGGTACTGCTGCGGGGGCCACTCGTCCCCGCGACGGGAATGCCGCGCTGGGCGCAATATGCGGTGTCGATTGCGCGATTGCGCGCGCCGGTTGTGAGGATGAGTTTGAGGTTGGGGAGGGCGGAGAGGATGGATGCGGGGAGGGGGGTGCGTTCGCGCTGGGCGATGATTATGTCGTAGGGATGGAGGCGCGTGATGAGGGCCGCGTGGGAGGCTGGGTCCGCGGGGTTGAGCGTTTCAGGGAAGTGGTGGATTGTGAAGTGAGGGGTTAGGGGGGTGAGGGGGGTGGTGGAGACGCGTTGGTAGTCGTCTAGGACGGCGATGGTTGGGTTGGGCATGGTGGGCGTAGGCTGTATATAGGTGGTAGGTAGGGAGTAGGTTGTAGGGAGTAAGTATGATGTAGAAGTAGGTAGGTCAGAATAATGTAGAAGGAGGATTTATAAGTAATGACGGCGGAAGAGGATATAGCCGTGCCCCGCACGACCCAGTACAGCTGGAGCGATGTATAGCACCAAGCTTAACATTCATCCACAGAGTCTGATAACCAGCCAGACCACCTAGTTATAGTCATAATAGTAAGACCATGTACGATTCAACCTCCCTTCCTCAAAATCCTTCGGCTGTTCAACATTCAGTCAGCAAAAGCATCCCCCCAGAGCCAGGAACAGAGGTACCCACCAAAGCATCCACAAAATAATCCACCAGCTCAACCTCATCCTCAATCCACATCTTCTGCCTCGTCGAAAGCGAACTCCCTTCAGGAAAAGTCTGCGCAGAATCAAAATCGATCCAGAACACCCGATCAGGCCCCCCGCCTGAAACCATCATATTGCGCGGATAAGCATCACAGTGTAGAACACCCGCGTTGTGTATATCGCTAAGAACCTCACGGAATGTCGCCAGATGATGCTATGTGTAATTGGACAGATCGACATGCTGGAGGCTGGGAATGAATTCCATAATAGTGGCGTTGGGGGGCAACTCGTCATTCAAGAACATGCTAAGCGCTGGCCACGCAGCTGGTTGGATATTCGTGACAGTCCCGTAGAAATCAGGAATCACGCCTCTTTGGCACAGGCCTTTGGATTTTAGACTGTTGTAGGCGGTGGATTCTGAGATGAAGAGGTTGGTGCAGCGGTAGGGGAAGTCAGCTTCGGTTCTGACTCTGTCGTTGGAAACCTCGCGAATGACAGAACTGGTATTTTCAATGGTTGCAGTGCTTTCTACCTTCTAACTCCAAAGCTACTTGCCCCCCACCATTCCATCAAATAAGCGAGATGCAGCAGCATCAACCGAACTATCTACTCAGCATCAAGCAAGCGAGGCTTCAACCAAAGTATCTACTCAGCATCACGCAAATACGGCTTCAGCCTCACCATCAACTCCCCCTTCTCATAAACAATGTAAACCCGCTGACGATCCGCCCAATCCATCTGCCCGTCAACCAGCTCAACATCAAAATTCCACAGCAACCGAGACACCACCATGCGCATCTCCGCATAAGCAAGGTACTTGCCGAGACAGTCGCGCGGGCCAGTCGCAAACGGCTTCGATGCTTCGAGGTTGTCGTTAGCGTAGCGTGCGTCGTACTGCGGGTCGTCGGCTGGGAGCCAGCGCTGCGGGGCGAAGAGGTGTGGGTTGGTGAAGCTGTGTGGGGAGTGCGTGGTGGCCCATTGGAAGACGGAGATTGAGGTCTATATTATGGTTATGTAAATATCATGGTTATTAGAGGTATGTCATAGTGGAAACTCACTCCCTTTGGAATGTATCGGCCGTTGACGACCCATCCGGGCGAGATGCGAGGCGGAGTCTCTGCCAGAGGCGGGTGAATGCGCAGGGTTTCGACGAGACAGACGTGGAGGAAGGGCAGTGCGGCGGTGGCCTTGATGGTGATGTCGGCCTGGGAGGCAAAGGCAGAGCGGATCTCGGAGGCCAAACGGGCGTACACGTCGGGGGTCTGCGTCAGGTAGAAGACGAAGGCGGCGAGAGCGGAGGCGGTAGTGTGGCTGCCTGCGCCGATGAGGGTGCGGGCGTTAGTGACCATTTCGTCGTGGGACATACCGCGCGAGCCATCCTTGCTGTTACCGAGCACGTAAGCCATGAAGTCGCGGCGGGGGTGGTCGACGCCTTGCGCGATGCGCTTTTCAGCCTTGGCGCGCGCCATGACGTAGTACTGGCGGCGTGTGTGCATGTCACGGTTGAACAGAAGCCCGAGAGGTCGCAGGAGTGGATAGTGCTGGAAGAAAGAGAGGCGTGCGCCGGCGCGCATGCTGTTGAAGATCATTGTCGCGAGCGGGTGGAAGTCGGTGCGGTCGAGACAGGAGAAGGAGTCTGCGAAGGCGAGCTCGCTGATGATGTCGATCGTGAGGTAGTTGAGCCAGCGGGTGATGTCGACGGGGGAGCCGGACTCGGTCTGCTTGCGCAGCTGCTGGATGAGGAGATCGGCGTAGTGGGCGAGGTGCGATTCCTGCTCGGAGAGCGCGCCGGTGGAGAAGGCGTAGGCCATGAGGCGGCGTTGGCGGCGGTGGTCGTCGTGCTGGGCGGGGAGGATACCGATTCCGTCGCGGGCTCCGTAGAAGGTCGGGGTCTTTTCGAATTCGGGGACGTTGGGGCGCCGGGAGAAGACCTCGGACCATCCGATGGATCCTTCGATTGCGAGCTGCGTGGGGGAGATGCGGACGATGGGGCCGTATCTGTCGTGCATGCCGAGCATGTCTTTAGCCAGGGTGCCGGTGATCTTGTTCTGGTACAGATAGGGGAGGTATGAGGCTGCGTAAAGCTTTGGACCGGGGAAGTTGGCCAGCGGGTGGAAGAAGATGCGATAGAGGATCAGGCCGATACGATGGAGGAGGCACTGTATATACTTAGTAGATTGTCGCTCTAGAAGAAAGAAAGTATCTATTTACCGCTCCCATCAGCAGCACAATGACTGACCAGATCGTGATCATCTTGCGTACGAGGATCGAATCTTATGGGAATCTGGGTGAGTTGAAGAGAGGAGAGAGAAGATGGTTAGGTTAATAATATATAGGATCAAAGATCAATTCCTGGCTGATAACCACTGGCAGCCACTGACAATCACTGATGGCCATGGATATTCACTGATACTTACTGACATCTAACCTGGGGCTGGTCAGTGTGACTTGTAGTATCCTTGTCAAGCCCTGTATCACAAGTGAAAGTCACTGGATAGACAATACAATTCTCCGGAATAATATGAGTGATAGTATATATATATCTTTACACCTGAAGGGGAGATACATAGTAACTAAATAATAGATAGTTGTCTCAAATCTATGAATGGTGTCAACAACAAGGAATAGATTGATAATAACAGTAGTACTCAAGTATGTATTAGGCTGCAGTGACTGCAGATATTTATCTGATCATGCTAGCTAACTGAATTGAAGATGGTATGTGACATGAACTTGGATAGTATTCTTCTTTGAAACCACAACCGCAGAGTGTGACAATCGAACTGTGTATAGTAGCTGGATGGTTTAGTTGATACAGTCTAAAGCAACCAGAGGGAGCGATAAAGATAAAGCAGAGAATTGATACAGAACGACATGACATCATACACTATCTGCCTCAGGCTGCATACTCACCGCCCGGGGACCAGGGCAGAACGTGACCCGAGCATCGCAGGTTTCAAGTGGTTCATCAGTGGAAGTGAATCTCTCCATCTCCATCTCCATCTCCATCTCCATTATTGGTGCTTCTGCTTCTCCTCTTTCTCACCCTGCAGAGTCCCATATCTTGGCACCTCTTCTGGTCCATTTGCTGCTTGAGACACTCTCAAGCCACTCCTCTCTTTTTCCTTCTTTTCCTTTTTCCTTTCCTTCTCTTCTCTTCTTTTCTTTGCTGTTCTTTTCCTGGTGAGAGAAATTCTTTCTCCAATCCCACTTTTTCTTCAGCCGCGCCCGTGTCAATCATGAGGGTCATATCTAACCTATCATCGACCTAGTTGCCTGCATTTCATTCTCCACTTCCTCCACTAGCCCGGTCCGGCGCTCGACCTTACTGTCGACCGTTCCTCTCGCGCCATTCCTACAAAACTTCTAAACTCAAACCCACCCATATTAAACATGGCCTAGTCCCACCCACGTCTCCCATTTTTCAATCTTTTTGTTTTGTTGTTTTTTTTTCTCTCTTTGTTCCCTCTCGCTTCTCACCCCAATGGTGATGGCGACACCCCCGGCTTATAGATCACTGGCCCTCCGGCCTGTTGTTTTCGGTCTGGCTAAACTGCTGGTGCTGGCGTTCCTCCAGCTGCCTCTTATCTCGGCCGCTCCCACCTCTTATGTCATCTCCGCGGAAGCGGAACCGAAACCACCCAACGATCCCGGGTTATGGCTGTATCTGAGTGTCGCTGCAGCCCTCGTGCTGAGCGGTGGTGCGTTTGCGGGGTTGACAATCGCTCTGATGGGCCAGGTATGGTTCCCTCGTCGATGCGGCTGGGGTTGTGGTTCTGGTTCTGCGGCTAACCCGGTCACGATCAACAGGATGAGGTCTATCTACAAGTAATCCAAAGCTCTGGCGAGCCCCACGAACGGAAAAACGCAGCGAGTGTGTTGAACTTGCTGAATAAAGGGAAACACTGGGTTTTGGTGACGCTGTTGTTGAGCAATGTCATCACCAACGAGACGCTTCCCATCGTCTTGGACCGGTCGCTCGGAGGCGGATGGCCCGCCGTCCTGGGCAGTACGGTCTTGATTGGTACGTAAACCCCTCATCCGGCCTATCCCCTGGGTCATGGGGACTGATTGTTGGTCGCTAGTGATCTTCGGTGAGGTCGTGCCTCAATCGATCTGTGTCCGCTACGGCCTTCCCATCGGGGCCTGGATGGCCCCGTGCGTCTTGACCCTCATGTACATCATGTCCCCGGTCGCCTGGCCCATCGCCAAGCTGCTCGATCGGCTCCTCGGCGAGGACCATGGCACAATCTACAAGAAGGCTGGCTTGAAAACGCTCGTGACCCTCCACAAGACCCTGGGAGAAGCCGGGGAACAGCTCAATTCCGACGAGGTCACCATCATCAGCGCCGTCTTGGACCTCAAGGACAAGGCGGTGGGCAGCATCATGACTCCCATGGAGGATGTCTTTACCATGTCCGCCGAGACCGTTCTCGATGAACCCACCATGGACCTGATCCTGTCGCAAGGGTACTCCCGCATCCCCATCCATGCGCCCGACAACGACAGGAACTTCGTCGGCATGCTCCTCGTCAAGATGTTGATCACCTATGACCCGGAGGACGGCAAGCGCGTCCGTGACTTTGCCCTGGCGACCCTGCCCGAGACGCGCCCGGAGACCAGCTGCCTCGACATCGTCAACTTCTTCCAGGAGGGCAAGTCGCACATGGTCCTGGCCTCGGAGTACCCGGGCGAGGACCGGGGCGCGCTGGGTGTGGTGACGCTGGAGGATGTGATCGAAGAGCTGATTGGCGAGGAGATCATCGACGAGTCGGATGTCTTCATCGACGTCCACAAGGCCATTCGACGCATGACGCCGGCCCCCAAGTCCCGCGTGCCCAAGGGGAAGATTGTTGAAGAGCCTCCCATGCTGCCGCCGACGCAAGAGAACGGCACCGTAGATCCGGAGCATGAGATCCACGTCCCAAACGGGCGGTCCAGCGGCCGCCGCCGCAGCTCCGTGGAAGCGCCGCTGCAGCGATTCCAACTCCGCCGACAGGGAACCTCCGACGCGGCCGACAACATGGTGACCCAACGCGGGGCCACCGATCAGATCCTCGAACACCTCAAACACTTGGGCCCGTCCAACCTGGCTAGCCGGCCGCGGCACACGCGATACCAGAACGTGAAGATCAAGCGTACCAGCGTCTCCCCCAGCCACTCCGGCCGGACGGACCTCGAATCCGGCCCTAGTACCACAGACTTGTCCCGCCGTGAGATGCCTCCGCCCGCATTGGCCGGTGGGATCGGAGCGGGCCTCCTGGCGTCTGCCGGACTAGATGCCCGCGATGGCGCCCACGCCGTCCAGCTGGGCTACGATACCATGTCCAACACCCGATCCTCCGAGAGCAGCACCCCCGCCGGGCGGACGGGGAACCAAGTCTCCATCCCGGAGCCTGTCAGCGAGGAGCAAGACGACCATGGGCCGGCCGGCGGCAGCGCCGCCGTCAGCGACCGGTCCTCGGAGCCGCACTCACCCGACGGGGACTACCCCCGCGGCAAAGACTACCTGCACCGCGGCCCGGCCCGCAGCGGGAGCATCACGGAGCAGGTGTTTGACGTGAACGGCATCCGGAAGGTCGTCCTCCACACCACCAGCACCAGCTCATCCGACGTGGAACCGCCCGGCACGCCACGGAAGACCGGTACTTCCCCAGTGCAGGCGGCCGGCCCGCTGATCGACATGGGCGACGAGAACGCGCACCCCGACAGCGGGTCGAACAAGGCGAAGAAGCGGCGTCGTCGCCGCAAGCGTGGCACCGGCAAGTCCGACGAGCCCGCCGACGAGACGTCGCCTCTTCTGGAGCGATGAGACGGTCGTTTCTCCGGACGAACGATAGCCACGGTGATTTGTTCTGCGGGACAAACCTCCTGGATGAGGGTATACATTCCTCATACTTCATGATTTCTCTCTCATGTTCATTTATGCGTTACAAGATCGTTGAGCGGCTTCTTTCCAGTATTTTTTACATTGACCGCCGCACATGTGTATTTAAAATAGCCAATGAGTGTTTATGCCCTACTTGTGTTTTTTCTTTTCTTTTCTTTTTTTTTTTTTTTTTTTGGAGAATCAACGCACGGTGTGTCTATTCATCGTATTGATCACACTACTACTACCATTATCATACTCTTGTATTTTTCAATCTCAACCATCATTGAAGAACCATACCCAGTCCAAGAATATACCGTAAGTGTATAACCAAAAAGAATGGCAAGTCCAGTCTTCACCGGTTGGGGGAGCAAGTAAGTAGGTAGAGAAGGATTACTAGGTACAGCACGGTACTCCTTGCAGCAGTCCTTACTTCTGTATACTACCTAGACAGGTAACCTTACTCTTATTTATAGAGCCTGTTTTGACTGAGGAGGTCACCAGTAGGTAGTCGACATGCAATGCAATGTTACACAAGACTACCACGTCTTTTTTAGTGATTGGAAAGCGTTACAGGCTAATAAGGTGTTAGTGTCTTTGAGCTTAGAACATGCCGTCCTATATTCAAATGCAGTCCATATAGCAGCTTCACAAAGATGCCTTTTTTTTCTTTTAATTCTAATTCAATGAGCACATGCCATTCGCACTCTTGTGGAGGAGCCAGCTGGAGTGAGAGTTGAAGGAGCAAAAAAGCCTTCATGATGATATGGGTCTAGTACTACTGACCAGCAAAGCTCTACAGATTTGCCATTCTCATCCAATAGATACAGCTGCAAGAAGGTCACCATACCAGGGATTATCGAGGTTCCTTGTGTGAGACCGATGCGGCACAGTACAGCACAGCATGGCACAGCATGGCACGCCTAGCTAGACTAGACAGACCAAAGCGGGGTATGTTGAAACCATCCATTTTATCGTGGTCATTGTGTATGTTTGACGTACTTATTACTAGAATTTGTTCTGGATGTCTCCTACACCTGTCCTATCACTTCAAGTAGCAATGGTTAGAAACCTGCCGGGGAGATGGGGGCGGGGGGACGTTTTTGGGGCGGTGCTGTTGGCCTAACCCTGACTCTGTCTATGCATGTTGGACAGGCTGTCCTCTAGAGGTGTGTTCATTACTCCATATGTTGTAGCTCTTCTATTGTCCATTATGCATATACCACAAGGCTGACAGCGCCAATACATACAGGAGCAATTCGAAGTAGACCTGACGAACATCATATGACACGGACAGAGTATTGATAGGCCGACAGACGGTCATGATACAAGACAGCCGTCGATCAGACGACGTCCAAGTAGACAAGGGACTTGTATTTGCTTAGTAGAGGAAGCTTTTTGGCTGAAACGTCTGATGTTTTGCCATCTGTATATGAAGACCGTAGCGAAACCAACAGCGCCGCAGCTCCAGCTTACTGTACTTCCTTCCCACACCCAATTGCCTAGAAAAGTACATACCCGCAAAAGAGCCAGGCGGTGCACAATTCTAGCAACGACACAATCGGTCTTAGATAAGTAGTCCGCCTAATACTGGAGGCTGAAGCTGGAACTCGGTGCTATCCCAGCATGCTTACTACAAGTCCAGGATCATCCATGTTCGACGTGGGAAAGCTTAGGGTTAGCTGCATATACCTGTGACGGTGGTGTGACTGCGACATACTGATTAACGAATTGCGAGTGAAATCACACATATATATGTTGGTAGGGCAATTGGCGCCCACGCCACCCCCACATATAATGATCAACTCAACCAACCTAGGCGTAAGTTCATAGCCTTCTGGTTCTGGTTCATGGGCTGCGGAGGGGATGACGGGAGGGTTCCAGTGTGACTGGTTTCCGGGGCTTCCGGTGAGACCACGGGATGGATGGGCAGGAACTATATAATAGATGGGGTCGGAGCCGCTTTCCAGGAGAGTGATCTTGCTGTTTATGGCTTATTTCCCTCGTGCGATAGATGGATTGATGTTAGTTGTGTCACTGTTGAGTAATATCGTTTGGTTCTTTCAAATATCCTGACCCCTACGCGTTGCACAAGATTCGGGTGCTCCGGTTCGCCCACCATGAGACTAGAACGAGCTAAGATGCCCCTAGATATTATAATTGTTGGGTGAGTCGTACATTGACAGGTTCTAGACCTAGATGCTGATTGTTCTTCAACAGTGGGGGTATGTGTGCACTACCCTAGTGCTGGTAGCTCTGTTGCTAACGGTAGTAGGGATCGGGGGCGTGGCAGCGGCCCTGACTTTGGGGTTGCGGGGCCATAATGTCATAGTGCTGGAGTCAGCTCCCAAAGTATGCATGTAAACCTATAGGTATATTGAATATTAACCCAAGAGCAACAGCTTATGGAAGTTGGAGCCGGTATCCAAGTGTCCCCAAACATGCTAACCCTGTTGGACCGTAAGTATCACCCTTTCTTCTCACCCAAAAGACCCAAGCTGATCGATGTTCAGGATGGGGCGTGTCTCCCTCAGTCCACGCTCGTGACGTCCCCCTGGAACGCATCCACATCCGCCGCTGGCAAAACGGGCAACTCCTCGGGACTACGCCCGTCAACAAGACACATGGACAGCAGGTAGTCATCCACCGCGCAGACCTGCACAAATCACTAGTCGACAGCGCAATAGCGCTACCCAACGTGGAGCTTCGCACCGATTCAAACGTGTCAGGGGTCACGTTCAGCCCCGCATCAGTGACCCTAACTACCGGCACAGTCATCACAGGAGACGTGGTCATCGCCGCCGACGGCATCAAATCTACCATCCGAAGTCACCTACTAGGCGACGGATGCAGCAGCCCCATTTTAACAGGAGACGCCGCTTACCGGATCACGCTGCCTCGAAGCACGATGGAGAAAGATACTGACCTCAAGCGCTTGATTGCCGAACCGGCTGCTACGCGGTGGGTTGGCCCTGCGCGGCACATTGTCGCTTATCCGGTCCGTAAGCACGAGTTGTTCAATGTGGTCTTGCTGCATCCGGACCGGCGCGGGGTAGAGGAGTGTTGGACGACACGGAGCCCGAAGCAGAGCATGGTAGACGACTATCGTGGTTGGGACCCTGTTGTGACGAAGCTTATTGATCTGGTTTCTGAGGAGGAGGTGCCGGAGTGGAAGTTGTGTCTTCATAGACCGTTGAAGACTTGGACTAGGGGGTGTGTCGCTTTGATAGGTGATGCTTGTCATCCTATGCTGTAGGTTTCCCTATTCTTTCTTTGGTTGTTTACAAGCTAAGCAAGGCACGCAGTCCCTACGTCGCCCAAGGCGCCGCCCAAGCAGTCGAAGACGCCGCTGCTCTCGGAATACTTCTCTCCAGCATATCCTCTCGTTCTGAAATCCCCCTCGCGCTCAAAGTGTACGAAACGTCCCGGAAGTGGCGCGCAGAGACCGTCCAGCAGTCAGGATTCGACAACCGGATAACGCTGCATCTCCCAGATGGCCCTCAGCAGGAAGCCCGCGACGAGCAATTCCGAGCTTGCAGGTTGGGCGGAAAGAATCCCGATCGATGGTCTGACCGTGAGACGCAGCGGTATCTGTGGGGGTGGGATGCGGAGAAAGCGGCCTTGCGGGCTTGGGATGGTGAGTTTGATTTTTCTTGCACTTTGGAAAGGGTGTATGCTTATGTTGTTGTTATAGAGAGGAGGGGGCGTGTCTTAAGGGAAATTCGGCATCGTCTATAACTTGTAATCTGTGAGTAGCGATATAGGCGTATATGCGTGTGGTTGTAATTCCATAGACAATCAATTCATTACCAATGCACATGACTAGGAAGTAGTACAGCTGCATCGTATATAGAAGTATAGTTTTTAGTCACAGATATCAGCATAAAGAATTACTTTTTAATGAATAGTTATGGAAAATACTACTGGATACTCTGGGGTGCGAGGGCTCATGGCCCCGGAAAGCCGTGGAGATATTTTAACAGGAATCAGCCAAAATAGCTGTATGTATTCTTGGTTCTGTCTATTTAGTATCTATTATTAATCTGGATTCCTGTAAATCCAGCAGTGACCAAGTTACAAGGTAATTAATCCCTCGGGGCCATGCAACTGGTACAAATTTAGAGCCATGTCTATCTGATCTTAGATTATATCTAAGAGTGCTAGAATACAGATTCCCATGTTGAAGTAGCAGACCTAGTATGAGCATCTTTACCACAGAGAATATAACAACCATGACTATGGATGGAATGAGTGAGCTATCTTGACTTTATCTTATTATAAAATAGGATTCCAGATAATTAACTTCCTGTTGGAGTAAGCCTTATAAGAACTAACTAGGCTCAGGTTATAAGTCTGTCCGCTGCTAATAAACAAGTATCATAATGATTGATCCTACACGTTGAGGCTCACAAGTGATTAGGTAGATAGATTCTAGTGAATGACAACACGTGCACCAACTAATTACCTGCTATCATGATTTATATATTCACTATTTGTCTCTTTTCCCCTGTCACTCAGATCAAGCCAGCTAATATAAATTAGATCAATCCTGACAAGAAAAGCTTGGCTCCAACATCTTCTTCCTTCTTCAACTCCTCGTATCCTTGGCCCCCACTAAGCAGCCCCTCCCATCGGATTTGATCTATCAATAATCCTCCAAGATGATTGAGATCCCTCTGTCAGCGGTCTATGTCGCGCTGGCTGCCTATGCGTATTACTTCTCATCTCTATCCCAGTTCTTTCTGTTATCCTTCGCAGCGACCATCCTCAAGACCTTCTATGGAACCGTCCTGTACCCCGAGTACTTCACCCCGCTGAAGCAGATCCCTACTCCGCCGGTAAGCACCTCTAATACTCTTAATCTATCGACGACACATGCTGAAAATCCACATAGAACCGCTCATGGATCACCGGCAACTCAAGATCACTGCTCGACAATTTCCCCTTCAATGCGTGGGGCACATGGGCGCAGGAGTTGCCCAACAATGGATTGCTGCGAATCTATATGCCGGCAGGCATGGAGCGACTAACCGTGACAAACACCAAAGCTTTGAGTGAGATGCTGGTCCAGCGCGTCTACGACTTCCAGAAACCCGAACTGTCTCGTATGAGTCTTGCGCGCGCCGCGGGGGATACGGGGCTCCTTCTTCTTGAGGGGGATGAACATAAGGTGGGTCTTACTCTCCCTTTATTCCACGTCCAATGCTAACTGGATAGCGACAACGGCGGAATCTGATGCCGGCATTCTCCTACCGCCACATCAAAGACCTGTACCCGATCTTCTGGTCCAAGAGCGTCGAAATGGTGAACCTGATGAAAGAGGACCTCCAGAAGCGCTCCAATCCCTCGAACAACGTCGTTAAAATCGGTGCGTGGGCCACCCGCGCGGCCCTGGACATCATCGGAGTAGCCGGCATGGACCACGATTTCGAGGCCTTACGCGACCCAGACAACGATCTCGCCAAGGCCTACGAAGCCATCGTCAGCTCCGCACCGCCATTGACACAGATCTGCTTCATCCTCTTCGTGGTCCTCGGCCTCGGAAAACTCGCCATCAAAGCGCCCCTCAAACACAACCGCGAAATCAGCACCAGCGCCGACCTAGTCCGCACCGTCGTCCGCAATGTAATCACCGAAGGGAAAAAGAAGAGAGACTCAAGCAGCAGCGACAGCATCATCCCCAAAGTCGACATCCTCTCCGTTGCCCTCCAAAGCGGCGCCTTCACCGACGACGAGCTCGTCGACCAGATGATGACTTTCCTCGCCGCGGGCCACGAAACAACCGCCACAGCCCTCCAATGGGCCATGTACGCGCTCTGCAAGCACCCCGACGTGCAGACCCGCCTTCGCGAGGAAGTTCGCGCCCGCCTCTCCCCCTCGGCCCCCATTGCCGCTCCCACCCTCGACAGCTTGCACTACCTCCACGCCGTCTGCAACGAGGTCCTCCGCTTCTATCCCTCCGTACCGGCCACCATCCGCGTCGCCACGCGCAACACCACCCTCGTTGGCCAGCACATCCCCAAGGATACCATCCTCATCGTCTCCCCCCAGATTATCAACCACCTGCCTGAGCTGTGGGGCGACGATGCCGACGAGTTCAACCCTGAACGCTGGATGGGACCCGGAAAGGCTAACACCGGCGGCGCGACCAGTAACTACGCCTTCATGACCTTCTTGCATGGCCCGCGTGGCTGCATCGGTCAGGGGTTTGCTAGGGCTGAGCTCGCTTGTATGGTTGCGGCTATTGTGGCTCGCTTCCATATGGAGCTGGTGGACCCTGATGCAGAGGTGAAGGTGCGCACGGGGGCGACGGTGTGTCCGGTTGATGGGGTGATGGCGAAGTTGACTCCGGTGGCGGGGTGGTAGTGGTGATTTTACTGGTGTTCTTTACCGTTGATCCTTTACTGGCAGATTCTCTATGGAGTAAAACAGACTTATAATGAAGAGTAGCTGCTTTATTTTATTTAGAATGGATGATGTAACGTAGTTCAGAAACACGAACTCTAGTGGATTAAATAATGATACATGCTTGCACTACTGCTTATGGACCATTCGTATTCGGATATAGTCTACCAGTCTCCATAGTCCCAGGACAGTCACAACAATACTAAAGCCCACACTGATGGATAGATAGATATATACATCAGCAAAATTATCCAGCAAGACCACCATGTTCTTCCTAAGGTAGTATATACTATATACAAAAAGTACACACCCCTACTACTACCCCCACCCCCAACAACAACAAAACCCAACAGCGGGAAAGAGCGGAAGAAGGAAAGAAGATCAACAATTCTCCCCACAAGACCAATGATGCGACCCACAGTCCCCAAACCCCTTCGTCTTCTTACACTTCACTCCATTAGTGGACACCGCGTTGCAAGAATGGCCCGCGGAATGCAGGTTCGCGAGGAAGTCATCGCGGGCGTCCTTGGTCGGGTAGGAATCGCACGCGTTGGTGCACTTGTAGGAGCATGATGAAATGCCTTTGCTGGAGACTTTGCAGGTCTGTTTGCAGGCTTGCACGCTGGTGGTTGCTGCTGCGAGGAGGGTGAGGAGAGGGAGGATTTTGACCATTTTGTTTTCTTTTTTGCTGATTATTCTTTTGGTAGGTTAGTGGATATTTGGATAGAAGGAATTAGAGGAGGGAAATCACCTTTGGTTGTGGGTGTGTTTTGGGATTCTTTAGAGGGGATATGTTTGGAACGAGGATAGCTGAAGGGCGTGTACTGTTTATGTATGTTCGAGATTGGACTCTGCCGGACGGCGCCTCGCAGACTTATTCTTGTCGTCCTTAAGGCTGTCGACAGGTAGTTGGACTCCTACCTCTACCTGGTATCTCGCTACTATACTACGAAAAAAAAACTACATACCCATCCCGTCTGATGAAGAAGCCCGCCAAGAACGCCGATACGAAGCCCCCATCCTTAGGAACGCCTCTCGTATCTGCACGACAAGGGTACCAAAATAGTCTGAGCTTGCCTATTCTCGGCAGTGGCCCGATATCTCATTTGATAAAGGATGAGATTGTTCAACGCGGCTGCACAGTCCGACAAATCAATGCTACAAGATTCTCGTGTCGAGGCTGGATAATGTCCTTGACGAAGCTACTTGGCGAACCCCAGACTCAATCTTTTAGCTTGCGATCTACCACGCGCTAAGGAGATGAATCCGAGCCTTAGTTTAGTAGGCAATATATTGGGATGCTACCTTAGTGGGTCTGCCTGCTCCGGGTAAATCGTATTCCTGACTTAGGGCTGGAGCTGCAGAATCCGGGTTTGGGTTGTGAGTGTATACACACCGTTGATTCTATTTATATGTGCAGCTGATGATTTCTATATGCCATTATTAGATGTTGAGGCTTGATTACAAGGTATTAGTGATATTCACCCAAGGCTGGCCAAACAACTACCACCCCCCACCCCCTCCTCAACTCCATCACCCAACTCCAGCAATCAGCGAACCATCCCCAGTCAGTAAGCAACAGCCTCCTCTCGTATTCCTCTGTAGAATCCCATCTATGGGTAAATCATGTTTGCCCATCTACACAGCGCCACCGTTCTTGGCAGGGCGAAGCTCTGCGATGTAACTCCGTATACAATATACCTCTCAGTATACTTCACGGATCCTGCTCGTTTTGCCCCGGATTTCAGTTGCCCGTTTGGGGTGTCAGTGGGGAGAAGGCTCAGTATCAGTCTTCGGGATCCTCGATCGGGATGTCCCGTTGTTCGTTGGGGTGAGAGGCTGGTGGGTATCGAGGATCCAAACCATGTAATGGCTTCAAGGTATGTCCCGTCGGTAGCTGTAGGTGGTTGGAGGACTGGATAGGGCAGATCCACTGCGTTCGTATACCTGTAAGCGAGGTTGAACACGAGGTGACTTCGCCTAGCATCTATAGCTAACTTGGATGTTGAATGCACTCTTCATTCAAGCCTTCAAGTTCAAGTCTCGGGTATATAAGCCCCCATCTTTCCCATATCATGACTGACAATCATCCACACATCAGCATCCTAACCATCACTTCAAACCAAAAAACCAAACCAAACCAAACCAAACCAAACCAAACCAAACCACCAAAGTGCGTCCCATCCCCATCCCCTCAAAACAACAATCTAACACCACAACCAGAACCACCAAAATGGTCAAAGCCACCTTCCTCCTCACCGTCCTGGCCGCCCTCGCCAGCGTCGAAGCCTGCAAGCGCACCTGCACCCCCACCTCCGACAAGGGCGGCGTCTGCACCTACAGCTGCACGAAGATGTGCTCAAGCTTGGGCGCCAAGGAAGCTCGCGACGAGTTCCTCTCCAACCTGCAGTCCGCGGGCCACAGTTGCAAGGCCAGTGGCTCTTCGGGCGTGAAGTGCACTAAGAATTCTTCGTTTGGGAGCTGCTATGATCATCACTGGTCTTGTGGGGGTGGGTGTTAGGTTGGGCGAGGTGTTTACCTATCAACCTAGTAGGACGGACTAGCTTGTGGAAGGATTCGTGGATGAGATGTTGTCGGTTGAGCCTGGAGGAGATGAGGATTTAGATAGTGTGGCTGTTGCTATGGGAAATATGGTGCTCATGTATATGAATAGTCAATACTTATAGCCAGAACTCGCCTTGCCGTTATTCATGACACTGGATCATCTGTAGGAGTACACTAGTCAAATCTCAGTCAACGTTCTTAACTCCCTGGCTTCAATAAAGGCCCACCTGTTGGAGTCCAAGCACTGGTTCCACTGGCTGGAGGGTGCTGAATGTGAGCAGTTGGATGCTTTGGTCCGGCTGGAGTATGCTGTGTATAGAACATTTGATAGAGTTCCCTGATTGATTGTTGAAGATGGCCTACTAACGTCTACAGGTGGGACCTGCAAGGAAGATGAGGGAAGTAGTCCTAGGATGTCTGGCTTTTGGCCGAATGCCTCTGCCTCAGGCAACATTATACAATATAAATGTATGCCTCATTTTACGTGAACTATACTGTTATCTTAGGAACGTATGGACTTGCCGTATCAATAATGAAAAACCCTAGAACCAGTAACATTCAGAATGTTACCCTCAACGATACTCCTCTCGAAACACCATCACTCTCTCAACCTCATACCCATCATCCCCAGTCTCAATCCAAGCCCTCCACATGCCCCCGCAATTGAAATCAAACATCACATTACCGCGCAAGACGCGACCATGCTCTGCACGACTTTCCATACAAGCCTCGATCCCAATGATCCCACCCTCGCCCTCTCCAGTCTTCTTCCATCGTGGGCCCGCAGAGCGCTGCAGCTCACCTCCGGGTCCCGCAATAGCGGTGACAGCTGCTGCGGCTGAGACCTCGTGGGGTGAATATCGAGCAATGGCACACGCCGTACGGGCTGCAGCGACGCGGAGGAACGAATCCCCATTACCGGTCCCTGAGAGGGCCATTGCTCGTTTTCTGGTAGATGAGATGCGGGGGACGCGATCAATAAGAGCGTGCTGCTCTTCAAGGTCTGTTGGTGAACATGTAATGGTGCATATGTTTGTGGTACACACGAAACAGGGAGGAGAAGGCGCATGCGGAACTGTTTCGCGAGAGGGCGGAGATGTCCGATCCCCGAACACATCGTCCCATATGCTTCGCAGGGAGTACGTTGTCGTTAAATCTGCGCAACCACGCTGGGCTGGAGGCAACGGAGCCCGGTACACCATTTCTTTCGTGCTCCCCCCATCTTGTCCATCCTCTCCAACCTCCCCATCCCAGCTCTCTGCCCAGAACCCCGCCCCCAGAGTTGGAGTATCCCCAATACGGCCGGGGAGTTTGTTCGTCATGCCCCCTGTACTCGTCGCCACAGCAAGACCACCCCACCGATCCAGACACACGCAGCCAACAGTCCCCTGACTCATAGACACCGGCTCCTCCTTCCCATCCAGTCCCCTTCGATGCTCATCCCAACGCCGCTGCGTAAAAAACCACTCATCAGGTTTAAACTCCAATCCCCATTCACGGGCCAGCTTCTCCACATAGGGCGCCGCAAGCTGCGAATGCATGCTACCTCCATCCGCGGTAGGTGTCCCACTCGCGTCATGGCCGGTACGGAGGAGACTTTCCCGAGCGAGTCGGACGGGGTGTCGGACGTTTTTCAGACCCATTACTCCCGCAGCGCGTTTGAAGGGTCCTCCTCCTCCTTCCTCCTCCAAGACGCTGGTTACCATCACTGAGGCTTCCATCTCGATTGTCCCTGCCTTTGTGAATACGCTGCCGCGGCCGCAGTTGAAGAGCTCGTCGTCTTCCATTAGGGAGACGGCGTGGACGGCTGCGTCGAGGGCGGGGGTGCCTTTGTCCAGGAGGTCTTTGGTCGAGCGGAGGTAGGAGAGGAGGGAGGCGTGGTATTGGGAGTAGAGGTCTGGAGGGAGGGTTGAGCGCTGGATTGCTCCGGCGCCGCCGTGGATGATCAATGTTGGTTGGAACATTGGTGTCGGGATCGGGTGTTTGAAACTTTGCGAAGATGTCACGGCTTTGGTGGAATGCAATTGTTAGCATCACAAATGAAAGTAGATAGAAGGAAAGTAACCTGGGATGAGTCTTTGATCGTTGAAATAAGAGTTGCGTGGAGAGAGGTTTGAAGATGCAAGTCAAGTGCGGAGAAGACACCGCTTATCGCCTTCAGCTGCAGGTGCCTTGCCTATTCGAGTATGTGTTTCACCAAGTAATCCAGAGTCTTAGAACGTGTACACAATGTCACATTAGAACTGATTCTCTCCTTGTTAATGTACATAGTTTCATCCCCGGTCGACTCTGAAATCCACCTGCCAGGGAACTCCTCTTTTTTTTAGCACCCAGGTAATATAACAAAACACAAGGATGCAAGGTTGTGCAATCCAACCGCCGACAAAACCCAGTGCTTAAGAACAATTAAGAGCAGGGATGGAATAGAAGCAAACATTCTAAACAATGGCCCTGGAAAACGACATGACCCAGACCAACACCTGAGAAGAGAGATATAATAATATACGATGCGAACGGGGAATTGGTGAGAAAGGAAGACGATAGCTCCCGTTGAGATTGGTGTGATGGGAGCGAGATGTTTAAGCAAGGGCCTTTTGCTCGGACGGGGGCGGAGGAGGAAGCTGTGTTCGACACATGTTAGTTTCGAGTGATTGCAGGAAGACAATCGCTATTGGGAGGATCTCACCTCCAGCTTTGTGTTGTCCGCCATCATCCGCTGGAAACCGATACCGACACCCTCAATGACAGCCAGGAAAACAGCGCACATGATGGCCGAGTTCCGCGCAGCCTTGACACCACCACGAACAGCCAACGAACCACCAGTGAAGAAACCAGCGATGACTATAGGAAGATTTTGTTAGCGGATCCAAAATGTGTCATCAACTGGTAAATCTAAAATAGGGAAACGTACTGGCATTGTAGGGATCCTCCTTCTTTCGGATGCCCTTGATCGCGCAGTCGTATGTCGAGAACAGACCACCCCAAACACCAAAGTTACCGCCGAGAACCGGTGCTCGTGCCTTGATGGCAGTGATGGCACCTATCCGTCGCTCTCCGTAGGGGCTGTTTCTGAATCCCTTGACACCGTGCCAGACGGCACCACCGATCGCCTATATTCAGATATCATGTCAATTCTGTTTCGACAAAGAAGAATACACAACTTGAACGGATGGAAGACGTACACCCATGCAGAAAGCACCGCCGAAATCGCTCAGGGCGACCCAGGGGCAGGGATCTCTCGAATGATCCATGGCGAATGTATGACGCGAATGTGTAAGAAGTGATTGAGCAGAACTCGTCCACTAATGGAGTCGCAATGTGCACGCAGGAGACGAAAAGATCGATGAACGTAGGTCGAGGAGAATCGGGTCCTGGATAGATCGGACGAGGTTCAAATCGCTGGAAATAGAGAAGGTGTGAGTAAATCGACAATCACGGGACAATAATATACAGAAAATAGATGCAGATCAGACAAACTGACAGTGGAGGCAAGACGCCGTCTTAAAAAGTGGATGGCGAAGGAGTCTCGAACGGAGCAGAGATGACGACGGAGCCAACTCGGGAACTTTTGGCTTTTTTTCGCCCGGCAAAAACGTGACTTGGATGGGAGTGTAGGTCACGTGCCGATAACCGCCCCCCGAACTCCGCCCGCACTGGATAACCTAAACCTCTCCGGGTTTTTACCTACGGCTACGGCGTGCTGCGTTCTTGTTCTACTCGTTCGCGCCCTGGTGGCGAACCCCCATGCACCTACTCGGGCAAACTAGGAACAAGGATGGACAATGATCCATGTCAAGGGTGAAAAGTTTGCGCAAATCTAATTTTAGGCTAGAATGCAACCTGCAAATCTTTGGGTATATTATTAACTTCAGCGAATCTATAGAATTAGGGCTATATGTTTGAACAAAGGGCACGCTCATGATGGCAGATTCCAGATGAAGTTCAACGCGCCGCCCTCATATGCTGGAAACTGCCCTCCGCTGCTGATACCAAAGGGAGCCATGGACGGATCGAATGGCAGGGAAAGCCAGTCGTCCGCGGAAATATCGTTCAACGATGGGATGAAGCTCATATCTGGTATGTTTTGCGGGATGGATGTCTCCACGGTCGAGGGACAATGTCCATGGTCTACACATGGGACCGGCCCCGCAGACGGACGGTTCGCGGATCCATGGTTACTATTCTTCATGAATTTGGAGGATGCCAACAAGTTGCGCCGGAGACGCGACACGTGCATGTCGAGCAGCGTGGCATACCGAGTGCTCAGGTGGATATCGTCCAATGCATTCGATCGCAACGCCTGTATGCTCTGTTCGAGGATATCGAGCGATTCGCGGAGCGTCGCTTGGCGAGTCCCGAGACTAAGCGCTTTCATGAGGAATATCGAGGAACTGGTAATCCGAAGGAATATCCGCACGGGACAAAATCGCAGCGCTTCCATTTGCGCGAGCTGCACGACTTTCTGGAGGATCTGACAGCACCCGTCGATCACCTCCTGGATGTACTCGTAATCGGTTGGGTCGATGTTCATGGCGCGAACTTCTTCTACGTTGTGGTCGTTGTCTTCCAGAACGCGCTCAACGACTGCCTGCATTCCGACCGAATGGGTATAGACGCGAACAAAATGATATTCAATGAACAAAATGTCAAAGAAGTGTTTGTTAAGTGCTTCAAGCAGTCAGTTTGGGTTTGCGAAGCAAGGAAGATCGATTGGTTCCTTACATCGCGGCTGAAGGTGTTTCTCCTCCCACTTCGACAGTAGCGGTCGGAAATGGTCCAGTAGATCAATATACCGGCCACTGTGCAGATGCTGTCTTGCGAAGGGCACCGACGGGAAGAACATATCCGTCACGGATTTCGCCAGTTTGGTGAGATCCATCCAGGAATCCATAAAGGTCAGCCACTCGTCTCCCGACTGGCTTAGCTCTTTGGCCGACTGCCGACCTAAGATGGCATGGTTCAGGCTCTGTGGAATAAGCGACACGCATCCAATGCGCCAGGCCAGCTGGTTGATGTACACGTAGAGCAGCCGCTGCACCCGCAGCCTTCGAAGCTTCAACTGTTCGGTGGATATGTAGTCTTCGTAGCCTGCGGAGTAGTTCCACTTCTTATCGTCAACCTCGAAGATCCCAAGCTCGTGTGCCAGAGACAAGGCAGAACCAAGCAGCATCCACGACATTTGGTCGGATCTCCGCGCCGGCTCGATCATGTCCTCCAGCCACCGGTTTGTCGAGGGGCTGTCGCCGGATTCTCGAGGCTCGGGGGGCACAGTGATCAAATCAAAGTCCCAGCCGTCGCTCTCTGGTGGGAAATGCAGGGACCGCGGGTGCCACTCTGACATCAAAAGCAGGGCCTCGATTGTCCCGATGCTTCGGATCTTCGGCTGAGACGATTTCTCTTGGCCGAACATGAGTCGCATAACAAGTTGCTGGCAATGCTGCCACAGCCGGTGGTGGATAAAAAAGTTCCTCGACTCGCCGCCTGCCCCAGGCAGCAAGTGATAGCGCGACGATATCATCAAGATCGTACAACATAACACAGGGTCTCGAGAGACCAGCCAGCAGTGGTTGGCGTGGTCTGCGTATATGTTGGTCAGAATTGGAGAGAGCGGCGACATGTTTTTGAAGAAGCTGGTCAAGGGAAGTCAGCTCTACAACCACCCGAAGAACAGCAACCAGGGCAAACAGACAGATCAATAAACGTGACCGCTTCTCTTGAAGTAAACCACCCCATTTTAACCAACCGGCACGCTTCCCAGACATCCAGAACCTCTCTGGACGCATGAGAGAGCTCTACCGGCCGCATAGCTTTTGCGAGAGCCTCCGGGGCGACGCCGGATTGCACCCGGTTGGTTGAGGATCGAGGATTGCCGGAGTTGCCCATTATATCATGCGCATTCTCCGATCGAACTCCGGATTCATTTGCACCTTGCTCTCGACTATGCGCCGCCGCGGCCTCAAAGAGAATATTAAGTGCGTCGTTACCGCTAGACACCACAGTGCGCATCATTGAATTGGCCAGCGTCGAGGTGGACTGATGTCGGCTTTGGCAACTCCCGGATATATCCGAGGGTGGGCTGTTCCTGTTGTCTTCATGAGGACTGTCATAATGCAGCGACGTACGAGCGCTACGAAATGGTTGGTATGCATCATCTGTGTCACGTCGAACGCTGCTCCCTGTGCGTCGACGCATCCGTGGCACTGACGAGGACGCATCTTCCGGAGCGTCTATCGCAGTCCCAAGTCAGAACAAATCATCGGACCAGCATCGTAGTAACAACAATAGTAAAACCCACCCACCCAGATACATACCTCTCTTCCTCCTTCTCTCCCAAGCGCGCTTCTCCGGAAACACACAATCCCTCTGCTCCCTGCGACACTTCGCACAAGGCGGCCCAGCCATCCCATCCGGCCCAGGGTCAATCTCACATTTCGCCTTGCGCTCCCGGCAGGGGATGCAAGCCTTGTACGTGCGTTGGTAGGTTCGGCTGGGATTGCCTCCACTGCGCGGTAGGGTTCTAGTTTCCATTATCACCTACCGGGGAAACACCCGCTGACCAATCACGCGTGAGACAGTTTAATGACGTTGGGATACGGATATGAACTGCATGGAGGTCGCATGGCACCTTGAGCGACGTGGTAGGATCGAGCCGGATGTTTGTAGTAGGGTTGTTGTGGGAGTTAGGGTAAATTGAGGGTGTGGGAAGGGCGAAATAGCCGGTGGTTGCCGCTCGGGGAGAGAAATATCCGGGGTTTCGATGCCTGCTTTATCAGGGTGCTTGAGTCTTCGCGGTTCTACATTGTTGTTGGTTTTGTTGGTGTGGGGTTATGTCTCTACTTGACTCTACAAGAGTTGATTTTATAACATTATGGAATTAATTACAGAGTCAATTAGCCAGTGGCTCAACTTTCAATAGGACACCTTATTCTGAGCAGTGGCATAGTTACGGCAACGTATCCTCACCCCTCAACTATCATTTGCTAGATTCCTACGTAAGCATGATTCATAGCAGCCTCTCCATCAAGTCATTCATTTCCAGGGGCCATAGGCATTCAAACTTCAACCCAAGAGTATGACTGGACTGCGACTGGTTACCAATCTGCGGCAAGTAGCGGAAAGCGATGCGCTCAGACTCGGGTATGCGAGTGGCGGAAGTGTTCCGCTCGGATGTGGAGAACATCAACGGTGGAAGTATATCGCTTTGTTGAGCTTCTGGTATACGGTGATATCGAAGTTGTATATACAGAAAGTACAGTTGATAGTCATGCTCGCAAGGCAAAGAGCAGTTTAATGTAGTTTGAGCATATTAGACAAGGAGGTATGGGTTTGGGTAGATATACTCCCATCGACTATGTACTCCGTCTCTCCGCCGTCAACCGCGTTCTATACGGAAGTATCTAGTACATGAAGTATCTAGTAGGGCTGTGTACTTAATATCTATAACACACCCCTCTTCTCCCTTCCTCACAAATCAGAACTACATCACTTCACTACTAGCTCAAACATACAAACTTCATCCAACAACCACCAAACAAAATGTCCGACTCAACCCCCAAAATAACCCTCTACACCTACTTCCGCTCCTCCTGCTCAGCGCGCCTCCGCATCGCCCTCAACCTCAAAAACATCCCCTACACCCCCATCCCCATCAATCTCCTGAAAGGCGAGCAACGCACCGCAACAAACACCACCCTCAACCCCTCCGCCACAGTCCCCACCCTCATCGCCGAACACACTACCCCAGCCCCCAAAACAGTCACCATCACCCAGTCCCTCCCAGCCCTGGAGTACCTCGAAGAGATCAGCACGGCACCCTCCCTCCTCCCGCCCGCATCTAACCCCGAACTCCGCGCCGTCGCCCGCACCCTCGCGAACATCATCGCCTGCGACGTCCAGCCCGTCACCAACCTGCGGATCCTCAAGCGTGTCGAGTCCTACGGTGTCGACCGCACCGTCTGGGCTAAGGAGCTCACTGAGGAGGGGCTCCGCGCTTACGAGGCTATCGCTGCTTCTGTTGCGGGGGAGTTCAGCGTTGGTGATAATATTACTATCGCTGATGTGTGCTTGCTGCCTGCTGTGTGGAATGCGCAGCGGGTGGGAGTGGACCTAGAGCCGTTTCCTGTTATTCAGCGTGTGGCGGCGAGGTTGGAAGAGGTGGATGCTGTGAAGAGGGGGCATTGGAGGACGCAGGCTGACACGCCGGAGGAGTTTCGGGTTTAGATGGAATTAGTTGTGTATGTTTGAATTGCATGATGAATTGTTAGATGTTTATGGTATGGGTGGTTGTGTATTCGCGAGTGTGCTACTTCGGTATTGGACTTTGAAAATAAAAAAAATGAAATTGGAAGTAATGTTCATAGCTAGGTCATAACATGTTGAATCCTTTTAATCACACAATACAATCACAATATACTAATATCTAGAGGTTCAGCTTAACAGCGGGCAGGATGGTCCCCACGCAGTCCCCAAACCCGACATAGCTGCCTTCCGAGCCGGCATTGCCGCGCAAGACGACAGTGTCGCCGTCTTCAAGGAACGTCCGTTCCGAACCATCCGCCAGCTTGATGGGGTTCTTGCCGTTCGTCTGCTCGAGCAGACTACCCTGGGACTGGGGGTCAGTGCCGGAGATGGTGCCGCTACCGAGCAGATCACCGGGGCTCATGTTGCAGCCGGTGATAGTGTGGTGGGCGAGCATCTGGGGGAACGAGAACAGGAGGTTCTTCGCGTTGGTACGCGCGATCGTCGTCGGCTTGCCACCGTCATTGGTGACCTCGACCTCGAGCGCGATGTCGTAGATGTTCTTGGCTTGCTTCTCGCGCAGGTAGGGCAGCAGCGAGTCGCGGTTCTGGGGCTCCAGGCCCGCGGTGCGGAACGGTTCCAGGGCGTCCATGAGGACGACCCAGGGGGTGATTGTCGTGGCAAAGTTCTTGGCATTGAAGGGGCCGAGGGGGACGTATTCCCAGGCTTGGATGTCGCGCGCGGACCAGTCGTTCATGAGGACCAGGCCGAAGATGTGGTCTTCGGCTTCGTCGATGGAGACGGGCGTGCCGAGGTTGTTGGGTCGGCTGACGAAGGCGGCGAGCTCGAGCTCGATGTCGAGACGCTTGCAGGGGGAGAAGGTCGGGACCTTAGGGTTGGCGGCTGGGTTGGCGAGGATTTGGCCGTTCGGACGGTGGATGGCGGTGCCGGATGCGACGACTGACGACGCACGGCCGTGATATCCCACGGGGAGGTGCTTGTAGTTGGGCTGCAGGGCGTTGTCCGGTCCACGGAAGAGAACGCCGACGTTGTAGGCGTGGTTGAGACCGGCGTAGAAATCCGTGTAGTCGCCAATCTGCATGGGGACGTGGTTGGTGACCTCTGACAGGGGCAGGAGCGCCTCTTTCTGCAGAGCGGCATTGTCCTTGAGAGCCTGAGAGAATGGGGTGTCTGCGCGGAACACATTCTGGATGAATTCACGGACTTGACGGTGCACAGGGCGACCCAGAGCAGCGAATGCGTTCAGCGTGGGTTGGCTGAACACGTTGAGATGGGGCTGGATGACCGGCAGCTGAGAGAAACCTCCCGCAGCGGCAAAGGCACTCAGATTCAAGGCATAGTCGCCAATCGCAATCGCCGCGACACGCGAGGGGATATTGGCTGAAGAGATGATACCAAAGGGGATGTTTGCCAACGAAAAGGGCGAGTTCTTGGGGATCTGGAGCCACGAAGCCATGATTGCGATAGAGAGTTTGAGCGATAGCACAAGGAACAACACGAGGAATCAACAACAAGGGCAGAAGCAAGGTACTTGCAATAGTGATCAGACTTGGTTTCGAGAGAAGACAGATGTTAAAAGTCAACGACCCCTCCAACTCCTCACTCTTCCACAGCCCGATGATTGATGCGCATATTGCGTGGGGTTCCGTCAGCGGAATGGCCCCGCGTCCGCTTACCACCGGCAATTCCCGCCAGTCAATTCCGCCATTTGTCTTCCCCGCATCGTCATGTCTCCCCACCATCACGTCGCGCGATGCGGATTTCCGACTTCACCTCCGTCTTGGGTGCTACTTTAAAGACTCTGTCGATCTCGTCATTCATTATTCCTCCTATGAGGTCTGGTTTGTCTTGTAGTCGTATCAGATTGATCATCCCGGTCCACGTTGAGAAGTGATACAGCTGGAAATCATAACATAGGAAAGATGCCGGTCACTAACTTTTCACACCCCGACCCTTACTCTTACAATACCGGGTTTGACTCCTATCATGAGTATGTTATCACCTCGATCTGATATGTGGGCCTCAGGCTAATCTCCTCGCAGGACCGAAGCGGTCAAAGGGGCTCTTCCCGTAGGACACAACTCCCCGCAGAAGGTGCCTCACGGTCTGTACGCGGAGAAGCTCTCGGGGACGGCCTTTACTGCTCCTCGACACGAAAACAAACAGACATGGGTCTACCGGATCTTGCCCGCGGCGGCCCATGAAAACTTCACGGCCGAAGATGCCGAGTCCTACCACACCAGCATGACGACTGAGACGCACAAGTTACATCATATCCCCAATCAATTGCGGTGGGATCCGTTCGACCTGGATGAGAAGGTGGACTGGGTTCACGGTATGCATCTGGTAGCCGGATCTGGGGATCCGACTGTAAAGCATGGTCTGGGCATTTTGCTATATGCGGCTGGAAAGGACATGGGGAAGGAGGCCTTCTACTCGGCCGACGGCGACTTCCTGATTGTTCCTCAGCACGGTGTTTTGGATATCCAGACCGAGTTGGGGAGATTGATGGTCCGTCCCAATGAAATTTGTGTCATCCCTCGTGGTATCAGGTAAAATTATCGCATGAAACAGACCTCCCACCAACCACCGCTGATAAAAAAATGCTACGACAGATACCGCGTTACTCTGCCGGCAGGTCCAGTGAGAGGCTACATTTGCGAGCTCTACCAAGGACACTACCAGCTTCCCGAGCTGGGCCCCATCGGATCCAACGGCCTTGCCAATCCCCGAGACTTCCAAGCCCCGGTCGCCGCCTTCGACGACAGCGAGGAAGAGCACAAGCTGTACAGCAAATTCAACAACACCCTATTCTCCGCACGCCAGCACCACAGCCCCTTCGACGTGGTCTCCTGGCACGGCAACTACTATCCGTTCAAGTACGATCTCGGACGCTTCAACACCATCGGCTCGGTCTCTTTCGACCACCCTGACCCCTCCATTTACACCGTGCTGACGGGGCCCTCCGACCACGCCGGCACCGCCATTGCCGACTTCGTCATCTTCCCGCCCCGCTGGCTCGTGGCTGAGAACACCTTCCGGCCGCCGTGGTACCACCGCAACACCATGTCTGAGTTCATGGGCCTGATCTGCGGTGGCTACGACGCGAAGACTGGTGGTGGCTTCCAGCCGGCGGGTGCCAGTTTGCACAACGTTATGAGTGCGCACGGTCCCGACTCGGATGCCTTCGAGGGAGCCAGTAACGCGGAGCTGAAGCCGCAGAAAGTGGGGGACAATAGCATGGCGTTCATGTTTGAAAGGTAAGCCATTCCACGTCATATTAGCTAATCCCAGTTAATGGCTCACTAACACCCCTTGTAGCTGCCTCATGGTTGGCGTGTCTGAGTGGGGCTTGAAGACTTGTAACAAAGTCCAGGAGGAGTACAACGAGCATAGCTGGCGCCCCCTGAAGAGACACTTCAAGAACCCCAACAAGGCTTGAGGTAATCCGCTGATGTGTGGTACACGAGTCATGCGGTATACTATAATTCAAGAAATATTAAGATTACATATGTACCTGATTTTCTAGACAGCTTAATGGCTTTCCCTTTCTGTTGGTGCTCATCCTTTGCCACTTTTTGCTCACCGAGTAAATCCGAGCACCCCCTAGGCTTATAATGCGGCATGGTGTGCTAAGATCACCCTATAAATGCATTGGGAATACTAGGTCATCTTTTTCACTTCCATTTTCAACTTTGTTTTCTTTGATTTTTGTTGACCTGATTAGTTTTATTTTTATTCACAGTGACTTTCCCCCCTCATCTGAGTCTATTCATTCACTCATCATGGTGGGACCGGTTTCTCAGAGTTGAATTCATTGCTATAGAGTATTTCTTGACTTCAGGATGAAAGAATGCTAATTATAAACACCTGAACCCCCCTCAAGGTAACCCCAGGCGATATGGGAATGCTAGGGGAAATACTTCGATACCACCATCTCATCTCAAAATATTCTAGGCCCCACGCTATCGTTGCAGAGAACTCAAGCTATCTGTAATTATATTTGTTTACTTCTCGCTTGTTAAATACAACATGCGGCTCCTTGGTAGACACAGCTTTGCGCTTTGGAACGAAGGAATCTTTTTGAGGTAAGCATGCCGTTTTTCAAATTTATAGCCGGCTTCATTCTGCTCCCTTCGTCATACTATATCATTATGAATGTATACAAAATAGTTAACAAAGAAATACATCAGCTAGATCAATACTCTATACTTGAATGTCTGTCTTATCAGTTCTGCCGCTTCGTGGCGGCCCTTAGCTTGTTGATAAGAAGTGTAATCAGTCAAGGGGCAGAACGACATGCGTGCAATTTCGGTTTCCTCTGAAAGTCATATATGGGATCTCTGGATAGGGAACCAATCCTATAAGACTGGTTCGCGGCACTATTGGGATCGCCATACTGTATGTGCTGTCACCATTGATGAAGTCGCAGTAAGGCTAATCACATGACCGACAGTTTTAGCCACTTTGAAGAACCCTTTGTGCGTCAAGATACATGATGATAGCATTAAAGGCTGATCTTGGGTTTAAATTCTTAATCAAGTCGACAATTCTACAAATCACAGAGGGTCACTCATCACCAATAGCCAGGATCTAATCCCACCCCGTCAGCTTTTTCTCAACCCAATTGCTATTTATCGTATTGCCTCGATTCCAAACAGCCATAGACCTATTAATCATAGCGACGAGCAGGTCATGTGAATATTGAGGAACAGATTCTAGAAGACTGTTCTGCAAAGCGGCAGTGGTTGTTTCAGTCGAATTCCTCAATGTCGCCATGTGTTTCATGGTAATCCTTATCGCCAAGTCCCGAAGACCTCGGTCATGCGGGGGAGTGGAGAGATATATTTCTGAGATCGCCGGTGGGAAGGAACTCGCATCCAATCGCTGGACTAGTTCATGTTCAACATATTCCACGGCGAGGACTTTTAGACCATCTATGAACAGACGATCTGCAAGCGAATACATCAATATGTGAAATGAAAGAGGGTCATATTTAGCATTCTGGTTGGTGGATGGATTCGGCGAACCGAAAGGTTCGGTTACGTTGGCTGGTGATCTTTCTCTTTCCGTTTCGGTAGGCAGATTCGCGTTTTCCGAGATGATTGGCAGTTCAGAAGTCTCAGTAACCGTATCTTCGTGGGTGATACAGTTGTCAGATGAAGCAGGAGGCTCGACATCATAATCCAGGGTGTAAAGATATTGAATCATCATTTTCACTAGAGCCGGATCCTCGTTCAACGTAATGACGCCCGTGGAAGCTTCCTGCCATCATTCATTAGCGGAGGAATTCTAGGGGCAATAAATCCTCAGAATCTCACCTTAAAGTCTCCATCACAAGCTCCGGCAAAGAAAGCGGACCGCGTGCAAACAATACACCGATGAACAAGGTAAGACTCATTGCCGCACGAAATAGTCAAGTCGCTATACTTTGGTTCAGAACGCAAGCTAAAGCGAAGTTAGGTACAACTTGCAGTGGCTAAGTAGCAGTAGAGATACCTAGCTAGAGCACCGAGGAGCTCTGCACCGGGAATAGTTTCTCGTGTTGAATTTTCTCGCTCAACCTTAGTCGGGAGCTTCTTGCCCTTTTTTTTGACCATTATAAAAGACCAGGTTTCCTGGACTGGGCAAGATATTCTCAGCTACACACGAGGGACTGGAAGTAAGTAACATCAAGAAGGTATGGAAATAGGGGCAACCGCTTGCGTTTTATTGTGGCACCTGGCTAGCTATGTGTTGGCGGGTCATCTTTCAAGCAATGCCTCCTTACATCAAGCAGGCATTCCAGTTGGGCGTTGCGCTGGCGAAGCTTGACATCTGCTATTGATTCACATAAAATTGAGAACAGCTTTGACACGGATAACTTTCACCTAGAAAGAATGGGGGCCAAAATAAGGGGGCTGGGCGTAACTTCCTAAACATGTTGGATGATTGTAGCATCGGCCATTCCTTACGCATCGTTCGTTACTGTACCTGTCAAACAACTCAAGTCATGAGATCGTCTGTCCCTTTATTCTGTTTATGCCTCTCCCTTACCATTTTGACCAAAATTATCACTCTGTTCAAGGCAGCAGTTGCGATATCCTTTGTATGACTCTCCATCTCTCATCAACAGAATAAAATACATTTCAACCCTATCCAGGCCCATGGCCGCAGTACCTGAAAAGAAGAACAAGATCAAGAGTTTGGGAAGAGGGAGAACAAGAGCAGAAATATTTACAAAGCCTTTTACGGTATATCGAGACCTAGTGATGGCGCATCTTGCTCTTGAGTTCCTTGTTTGGTTTGATGAGATAAAGATATTACCACAGGCGGAACCCTGTTTAATTCTCCAGTTAGCCGTGAGATATTTGATGATTGCCAGCGCTCATTTGGACATCAGTATCCTTGCTCCTAGTTTGTATGAATCAGATCAGCGGTCAGAAGGAAAGCTACATTCAAAATCCTGCCTCCTTGCAGCTCTGCTGTGTAGATGCTCACACCGCAAGAACTCAATTAACCAAAAGTGTAAGCCAAAAAGCCAACATAGTATTTATTTTGATCCAAATTTCCGCGCAGGGAGATCTAGCAAACGGTTCTTGTACCGACAACTTTTAGTTGACAAATCGGCAAGAGGAATCCACAAGTTCTACGGTCCAACTCACTCTCTTAACAGTCGTTTGCGAACTTTTAGCCGTGAACAAGATTGCTTTTCATTATTAAGGGACCTACTTTGTGCTGACCCTATACAACCGCGACCATCTGCCTATCATGGCGTTGACCAATGGGAACCAGAAGAAAAAGAACCATAGTCAGGGTTTTCTCGCTGAAATTCAAAATCTTGAGTTTTCAATAAAAAACATTGTTCCTTTTATGGAAATGATAACAGGCTGCGAGGATTTAGTAAAACAGAAGAAAGACCTTGAAAGTCAGCTTGAAAAGGCAAAAGCGGAAAGCACCGAGTCACACGTAAACTCAAAAAATTGTGAGGAAAAGATGAGGAAACTCGTGAGCTTATTCGAAGAATGTGTCTCAACCTGGAAACAGCGAGAGTCTACTAGAGTCACAACCTTCGGAAATCAAGAATAATACGGAGCAGAGTCAGCAAAAAACCATCAATGAATTGACCCAAAAATTAAAGTTTCAGGGGGAAAAAAATGAATCCCTTGAAAGCAAGCTCGCAGACCAAAAAGTCATTTCATCTGGGTTAGAGGCTCGGCTGAAACAGATCCAGGACGAGCACAGAGCCTTCCATCGAGATATTGGAGTTGAGATGATGGATATTGATTAATATACCTCATATTCCGCAGTGAACCTACAAATGACTGATCTTTGATAGTTTTGAAGACTTCAGGTCTCTGGAAAATGCTCTTCGAAGCTTGGCTGAAAAGTTCTTCATGGAATCTCTGATGGCCTTGGATGAAGTAAGACAGTCACCTTTGAATACGCCACAAATAGGTCTGCTGACTCAAAGTACCACTTAGGAGAAGCCCCTAATAAGTGACTGGCGTGTAAGGCAAACAGAGGTAATGCAAAATCGCGCACATTTATTGCCATCGCTGGTATCTGCAACGTACTCTTATAGCCTGTCAGTAGAGTCAATGATCGCAGCTCGACTCTGTCAAGACATATTTACACCACTTTGTCTAGCATCACTAACAAGTCGCATGAGTATGGGAGCATTAATCGAGAGAGCTGATACTGTTGAACCTACTCAAAAGGCTATTCTTCGCACGCTCCTTTTGAATACTTTTGGTCAGGAAGAAGAAGATACATGGAGACATAATATCAAGACATTTGTCTCTGATATCACAGAGGAAGTCTTACCATTTATAAAAGAACAGGACATAGAAGATTTTTAAAAGGAACTTTATTCACTGCTCAAATCAGTAATATCTCTATGGGGTGGATTGTAGAGAGGTCCATGTTGGATTACAGCAACTTCCCGGACATCTGTTCATATGGAAAGCTGGAGGCCCAGGCAGTACTCTGGGGGTCCCACCAAAGCACAAAGCCCAAACTACCCACGCGTGGCTCTTTTCCCCTACATAATCAGTCACGGTGCTGAAGCTCCTTTATATGCTGGATCTGCACTCTGGACCGAAAACTTGTGGCATACAACTATTAGAGCGCAACAGACGACCAAGCGTATCAGCCCACCAGAAGACTCGTCCGACAATGTCGAATGTCCAGACGGACGGCTCGTTCCCTGGGCTGAAAACTCGACAAATGGAGGGTTAGGGGATAATAGCTCCCATGACAACTGCGTGAAGGTAAATCCCTTGGATGGGCACCACTACGGGAAAAAACGTGTCAATGGCAAGTCGCGATCTCGATAATTTCAGAGGGTCTTAGAGCCAAAAGTTTTCTTTAAATCTACTCGTTATAGTTTGCCTGGACGTGAGCTAAGGTCTCATGAGAAAATGCCCATGACGGTGATACATGGAGCAAATTGGGGCGCACTACATACCTACCGAAGTACTGGTATATTCTACATGGGCCTGGAAAATTACTGGTAAACATCTATTTACTCATATTATCATCATCCTGGTAACCATCAGTTCAATTTCAGTCGTTCTCAGCATTCCAGTTAGAACCCTTTACCATATATACAATAAGTTTCCACAATAAACGAGAAGAACAAAAGTACAGTCCACACAGAACTCCCAAGAGACTCGAATGACAAATTACACGCTATGCATGCTAAAATACAACAGGAAACCCCGATAAAACACACGCATCACCCCTCCACCTCCTTCCTCAACGCCTCCTTCACAATAGCCCCACACATCTTCGCATAAGGATTTGTCGGCACAGCCATCTGCTGCGCAACCTTATTCCCAAACCGCCCACCCAAAAAGAAGTCCCGACTAGCCATCTCCTCGATCTCCTCGGGCGCGTAACCCTTCAACTTCTCCGGGCCCCCATTACTCCCGTCCTGCCTAGCCCTCTTCAGCTTCAGCAGCAGGTATGCGCGGTGCGTGTGCGCGTCGGCCAACACCCGCGCTTGCACGGTCGATACTGCATCCGCGGGTGACTTGGGCGTAGCGTAGGCGATTGTGCGGCCCAGGTCGTCGAATAGCGCTGATGCCGCGCTGGTGTTGGCTGGGACGAAGATCTGCTCGTCTGAGTCTTTGGAGGTGGACTGCGTTGTGGCTGGTGTGGTTGTGGTGATGAGCAGACGCTGGGCCTGGGCGCGGTTCATGTAGGCTGGTGGATATGTTGGGTGTTCGGTGATGAGGGCGTCCAGATCTTGGAGGGCTGAGCGGACGGTTTCTGAGCTGACGTCGCTGGGTTGGAGCGTGCGGATGATCGCGAGTTCGCGCGCTTTGAGGCTCTCGTAGGTTTCGGGGGTGATTTGGAGGTGCGGTGGGAAGGGTGGGAGAGATGGGTCGATTGTGACGGCTGATGACGGGGAGGATTCGGCGTCGAAGAGGGCTTGGAGGACGGCGGAGTCGTTGGTTGTGAGGGAGGGGCGAGAGAGGTGGATTTCTGTCATTTTGTTGACTTTCTTCTTCTTATCTTTCCCTCTTTTTTTAATTGACTGTTACAGTTGGATGGAAGGTTGTATGGGATGTAGATGTAATGGCGTTTGAAGATAGTGATACTAGCAGTATTTAGAAGTGAAGGTGCTGCGACGTTCACGCGACCAACAGTCAGGTCACAAGAACCAGATATAGCCGACCACTACACTGCATCCTGTCTAGACCCATGGGTAGACGTGGATGATTTCATGGTGTAGATGAAGTCGATTGCCGGATAGATCCAAGATCCAAAACATCCGCCGGGCTATCATTGGGTCTTTCCAAAATACCCGTCTCCATCCGCCATCCCTCCCCTGCGATATCCGCTCCGAACCGACGCAATCCCCGATTTGCCCCAGATTCTTTCTATCAAGCAGGGGGCTGTGAAGCGGATGGATGCCATCATAGCTGTTCAGCTGGGTCGTGGTTTCCGGGGGAGAGCCTGCGATATCCGCCCAGGCGTCCCACTGGGACTTAAAACAGTTCGTGTCGCCGGGTTGGATGTTGGAGGGACAGAGATCTGTAACTATTACACATATCTGTATTCTACATCTTTTATACTACTCCTTCATTCTACAGGATTATTTTATCCTTAACATATCATAAACATGGCTCCTTCTGCTATGGCGGGTAGCCCTCCGCCCTCAGACCGAGTGGCCTCCTCCGACTTGGCCAGCTACAAAGCCTATGACCATGTGCACTGGTACGTCGGCAACGCAAAGCAAGCCGCGACATACTACATCACTCGCATGGGCTTCAAGAAGGTCGCGTACTGCGGTCTTGAGACGGGTAACCGAGCCATCTGCTCTCACGTCGTGCGCAACGGCGACATCACCTTCGTCCTTACCTCTCCCCTCCGATCCCTTGACCAGATGGATCGTGTGAGTCCCGAGCACCGAGAAGTACTTCAGGAGATCCACCACCACCTGGAAAAGCACGGTGACGGTGTCAAGGATGTCGCTTTCGAGGTGGACTCTGTGGACTCGGTATACCAAGCTGCAGTGCGCAACGGAGCCAAGGTCGTCTCGGAGCCGCACACCCTGCGCGATGCCGACGGCGAGATCCGAGTGGCGACCATCCAGACCTATGGCGAGACCACGCACACTCTGGTCGAGAAGCGCTCGTACCGCGGGGCCTTTATGCCGGGGTACCGGACGGAATCGGGCGCTGAGGACCCCATCTCGGCCTTGCTGCCGGGTGTGCATCTCAGCCACATTGACCACTGCGTGGGCAATCAAGACTGGGATGAAATGGATAAGATTTGCGAATAGTATGTCGTTTGTCTTCTCTTTTATGTTAGACACAGCTAACAGTGCTCAGTTACGAGAAGACTCTTGGATTCCACCGCTTCTGGTCAGTCGACGACAAGGATATTTGCACGTGAGTTTTTTTTATGACAATTCCCAATGTATATCAAATACTGACGGAACAAGTGAATTCTCCGCTCTAAAGAGTATCGTGATGGCTTCCCCGAACGAGGTTGTCAAAATGCCTATCAACGAGCCTGCAAAGGGCAAGAAGCAGTCTCAAATCGAAGAATACGTCGACTTCTACAACGGTGCTGGTGTTCAGCACATCGCTCTCCACACAGACGACATTATCCGGGACATCACCAACCTCAAGGCTCGCGGGGTGGAGTTCATCAAGGTCCCCGACACATACTATGAAAATTTGAAGGTGCGAATGAAGAAGACGGGCTTGGTCCTGCAAGAAGACTTCGACACCATTCGTGGCTTGGATATTCTGATCGACTTTGATGAGGGCGGTTATCTCCTGCAGCTGTTCACCAAGCACCTGTTGGATCGCCCCACTGTCTTCATTGAGATCATCCAGCGACACAACTTCTCTGGATTCGGCGCCGGGAACTTCAAGTCTCTGTTTGAGGCGATTGAGCGGGAACAGGAGCTTCGTGGGAACCTGGTTTAGGTTGTCGGGGGGAGAATGGGACGATTTACGACTGTATTGAATATTTCTTACTTTGCATAGTGTCCAGCTTGTCTCTGTTGTACATAGTTAGCCAGACAGCTCAATTATTTCGACGATCCATGCCAATCTTGAATGAGTTTATAGCAAGTCTGTCAAAGCGAAGGCAAGAGAGAAGATTATGCTTATCCCGTGATCCCATGTGACTTATATAAACGACCAACGGAGAAATATCTCAACGACTTCTTCGCACGTACAACCTCACTTCTCACTTCTCAACGTCTTTTCAGCAGTTGGACTATGTTCCACTTCCACTCACGTGGGTACTAAGCGAATGGGCCGGCGAAGGCACACTGTACTAACAAATATCATTATGGATATCTACGTCAGATGTGGCTATCGACTTCTGCCGTCGGATACTTTGCTCCATGCATATCCACGATCCATTGGCAAAAAATCTCCCACTGTGCGTTCCAGCTCTGCAAATGACGAGCCTTGATACCTTGACCGCGCTCTCCAAGGTGAATATCACGGATCCACTCAGAATGAGGCTGATCCTGGAAATTAGCCCAGCGGATACTATTCTGTGCGAGAGCGCCCTGTGGTGAAGGATTTTCGTCAGCCTTGTCCAAGCAGGTAAAAAGTATGGAAAGAAAATGGGAAAAGGGCCACTGACCAGTCCAGCTAGTCCAGTATTGTCAAATCCTTGGATAGTCTGATAAAAGTCATAACTCAGACCTGCGATGTCTTGACCAAGGATTGATGGATCATCGTTGCTAATTGCTGTGGGTACACCGTGCGCGACCATCGCGGGCAGAGGATGGTGCAGGATATCCGTCGCCAAACGAAGGACTTCGTTTGATATGGGGCACACTTCCACCAGGACCGTCTTTTGGATTACCTCGTTTGTCAGCTTGGGGTGTTTGTACAGGGAGAATCCGTGTCCGATACGACGCGTTTGGAAAAGCAGCGCGTCGAAGAGATTAAGGTCGGTAGAGTTCCCGTCACCCAGCGTCTCTCCCGCATGGAAGAAGAACGGAATTGTGACGTTGAGGATTTCCGTCTGCCTTCTGAACCAGACGAGCTCCGGGGCCAGCTCAAGAAGAGAGTGCCCGAGGTCTTCCTGTCCAACTAGGTCGTATCCGCTAACGAGATAGGGGAATTTTTGCTTTTGCCCAAGAGCAAGCTTCATGTCTAGATGGGCAGCCAGTCAGACGACGCCTTCGGTGGATGGGAAGCATATTGCTGCAATGAAGGAGTATTACATACTCTCAGCGATCAGCGTTCGATTTGAGCCCCGCAAGTCCGTCCAAATGACTCTCGCGCCCCAGAAGCCCTTCCCTTTTGGTGTCTTTTGGAAAGACTCGATCTCCTCATGCAAGACGTGCCACCAAGCATCCGGATTAGGGTCAGCCGCTTCATTGCCGTTGTGAACAATCTCGCCAGGTGCGGTGCGTATCTCCACCCAGTTGATACCATCATCGACCAATCGCTCAAAAAGCTTGCGATAGAATGTGCGCACGATAGGCTCGTAGGTTACCATCTCAGTGAGTGGGCCAAAGCATTGCTGGAACTTGCGCCATATCTCATCCACGCCTAGGTCATGTCGCACGGAGTCTTGGGGCAGGATAGTTATCTTGGTCTTGACGAACTCCAGGAACGCCGGGCGGCCTCCCGGAAAGGTATCGGCCGCCTGGTTGATAGGGACCTGCGAGTTAGGCACATAGTCCGTGTCATGAATGGACCTATGTACCTCGTTCAATGTGTGGTTGACATGGGCAAACATTATGGTAGCATTCTGGCGCTTGAGCGGGGTCGAGACGTCCTGCGACGCGGATATCACCATACCCTCTGTATGGAGTACCGCATCCAGCAGCACGTCAGCAGGCAGCATGGCCTGCAGATGTGCGTGCAGCAGCGCCCCCTTTGGCATGCGCTTCACAATAGACCATAGAGTGGTATTCCCGATATGCGGCCGCGCTTTGGGAAACATCTCACCCGCGAACCTTTCGCGCTCCTCGTCGCCAACGACGCCGGCCTCGCGCCAGAAGTGATCAATCTCCTCCTGTCGAATGGCTCTGACGATCGCCTCGGCGCGTCGCGCCACCGGAGAAAGACTCTGACGGAAGGCATGGTCTACGATGGGGATCAGTACGCGTGTATGGATCACCAACTCCCCAGATTGTCCTTTTCGCACCTTGTCGCTGTCCCATCTCCTGCGCGATCATCTCAGATCGGAAGCGGAGATGGTGCTGCACCACTCTGTCATTAATGGACGGTTCGCCCACGAAGTCCAAATCAACTTCAGCCGACACAACCGACGACACGCACCAAGCGACGACCCCAAGCAAAAACAAGAAGTTCATAGTGGGCGGTAGCAGCATCCTGTCGGGTCAGTCGCACAGACAAACCGCTTCTCCAGGGACCTGTTCCTCGTATATATAATACTGCTTTGCGACCGAAAAAAAGAAATCTCCGATCGACTGGGCCGAGCTGAGGGTCGCAGCTGCATTTTCAAGCCCACCGCGGCCCCTGTTATTCACTATTTCACATTGCTTACGGACCCACAGGGGTAAGATAAGTAGAGTGATAGTTTTGAGGCTAGCAAGGTTTGCAGTTGCATCAGACTATTGGGTCCACACATTCCAGTGACTAGCGTTTGCTGATCAGGAACAAAATAGGTGATGTGAGCCAGTGATGAAAGGCCTCGTTGGTACGGAATACATATTTGTAACCCTACAGTTGAGAAAACAATGTCCTGAATGAAGCTAATCCCTCCTATGCAACCTCTTCACCGGGAAATTCTAGGATACTTAGACAAAAAGGGCAATGGTAGGCAAAAACTGTCGGTCTGCTGATTATGTAGGTACGTGTACTCCAAACCCATTCCGGACTCCGACTCCGTACATATGCATAATTCGTTGTCACGTCTGTCCTGTTTGACCCCGCTTGTTTTGGTTCCAGCTGGGCTCAGCTACTATCTATTTGACTTTCTCCCACGGCATTGGTGCACGTGTCTGTCAATACGAGAAGGATGTTTGTCGCATTCTATTTGACATACTGGGGAATGTTTTTTACGAGGTTGACCTAGAGATGTCTCTGGAATCCAGGCTTGGAATGATCAGCATCCGCTCTATACACCGGTTATGTGCATTATCTTGACAAACTAATTGTTGGTAGTTATGTGCCCCCGGATTGATATGGGATTTGACCCACAGAGTTCGCATTGACCGTATGGGGTACAACATAAACAATGGTAGGGTTTGTTTAACCGTCAAATTCTTCATCATCTTGTCTAAGACTACTCGTATGCAGCTTTCATAACTTCATTCAACATGCATATGTGCAAGCACCTCAGAAGTCCAACCAGACCGCCAGAGAAAGATATAGATCACTTCTTCTTCGACGACCCAGAACCACCAGGCGCATTCCCACCCCGCCGCTTAAACTTGCGCGGGTCTAAAAATCAAGCACAAGAATCAGTATAACCGAACCAGAAAACCAACAAACACCACTGTAAGATGAGAACATACCCTTCCTGCTCATAAGCGCCCTATTTCTCGTCCCCTTTCCGCCCTCCCAGAAGCCACTACCGGCTTTGCCTACGAGGACTGCGCGGCAGACGCCGCAGTTTTCGGGTCGGTAGATTTGCTCTCTTGAGCAGAAGCCGCTGAGGTTTGAGTGTTAGTGCTGTTATGGTTTTATGGGGTTTCGCCGACGCAGGAACTCACCAAATCATGCGGTTGGCGTGTTCGTTGGGGTGGTCGGTTGCTGCGTCGTGGCATCTGGAAATTGAGTTTAGGTTTTGGTTTGTTGATGTAGGAAATGTGTATGCTGTGTTTGTGTTGGGGGAATGAATGTAAGGATGACGGGGTGATTGACGTACTTGTCGCAGGGGAAGACCTTCGCACAACAGCTGAATCTACAAACGGTGAGTAGGCGTCTCGGCGTAAAGAATAGTAGGGCCGTACCTGAACCAGCGATAGCTTTTCCCGTAGTGCGAGCAGCGGCCACGACGGGGGAGTTCTTGCCCGGCGACGATGCCGAGGACTTCCTTGGGCTGATTGTCATGTTGTCAGGACATATCTTGCGATATATTCATGTTTAGGTGGGACTTACCTTCTTTCGCTGGGGGCCGCGATCTCTCGCTGAGACTGTAGATGATACATGTAAGCGTGGACTGGGCGATGGGAGTTACTTGGATGAGGGTAGACACTTACAGGCTGCCGATCCTACTTTCAAGAATTTGACCTCGGGGATCTTGAAAACTGCATGTCGTGAGCATACTATAATTTCTGAGATCGGTTTGAACGTACCCATTTTGCGATGGCATTGACGGCAGTTCGCCATTGCGCTCTCGCCACGGACGGCGACGACCCCGGGCTCGGGGAAGGGTGTCGAGCATTCGGCGCATGTCGGGATAAAGCTACTGTGAGGTTGTCAGTATCTGTCTAGAATAGCAAAGGTAGACAGTATGCACCTAGGAAGAAGATCGACAATTGTACATCCGTCCAGGTCTAAATAACCAGCGCGACTGGAATTGGCATGGATCAATTGTCGCCGGAAACCTGCATAGCGGTTAGCATGGAAGGTGCATGAAGACCAGTCAGGATAACTGGAAGCAGATTTCGTCGGTAGTCACATAGACACTAGGACGATGCTTACCAACGCTCATGGCATTCGAGCACTTTTTGCACGTTTCCACCTTGGGTACAAGTAACCCAGTCTTGTCGTTTGTGTGCGGAACCTTCTTCACATCCATCATTTCCTTGCACCGCTCACATTTGATTGTGATGTTGAGACCAATCAGCTCCATCAGTTCGATCCCGTACAGCTCCAGGAACGGGAACGAAAGAGCGACGCCGCTTTCTTTCGTAGGCTCGGGAAGACCAGGAATAGGAGCACCACCGTCTTCATCCCCTTCGTCAGAAAAGCCGTCTTCGTCGTCAGTCTCGTCTGTGGCATCGCTGCCACTGCCACCTCCGCCGGCCGCCCACTCTGGAGGACGGGGGACAACATGCAGATGAGGCTTGTCTCCTTGTGGTACTGGCTGGGGTAGCGTAGAGTCGGGCAAATCCTGTTCCAGGGCCACCGGTTCCTCGATCACACCTAGATCAGGGGCTTTCTCGAGTGGTGTCTTAGCGAGATTGTGCATGTTGCTGGTCAGATAGTTCACTTGCGACACCAAGTTCAGCTGACTATTCTTTTCAAGCCACTTCGAAAAGCCGAGCTCTACTGCTTGCGCCTCGTCACCGGTAACGCCCTGCATATGAATCCTGCTGGGCTCAAGCGGATACAAGCGCGGTACCATCAATTTCACCGTCTTGATCGACCGCAGTGGGATGGGCAGTCTATCGACCTTAGTCGGGTTGACAGGAATCGTAAAGGAGAACCCGTCCGACGACTTCTGAAACATAGGAAGTCGGCCAAGGCGCGCCTCGATCTGCTTCGTCTCTAGCGCCCTGCGCTTCTCTGCTTGCGCCTTCTCCTCCGGCGAGTAGACAGGCGCTGGTGCCACTGGAGGAGGAGGTTGTGGCCGCGGAATAGACACGCGCATCTCCGCCAGCTTTTGCTGAAGGAGCTGTGTATTTCGCTCGGGCTCTCTCGGCTTGTCCTTACCGGTGGTGATGTTGGGGACAAACTTCAAGGTTGGCCCTCGCTCTGTGGTCGTCAGGAACCGCTCCAGATGTCGATCAAGCGTATTCATCCAGGTCAGTAATGAGCCCCTGGAGCCCGTACGAATTGTAGTGTCGACGATATCGTCGAATCCCCTTTCAACATTGGCTTGAAATGAGGGGCCCATGTCTGCGTTGGTTACCTTCAGCGTGGGTCTTACTCGTCCCGGGTACGATGCTGGGACATGCAGCACACATTGCAGCTTATCCATTTCGAATGGAAAATCCGGATCTGAAGGCGCCATGCCAAAGGTGAGGGATGTGCCCGCATCGTCTGTATTCTCCGTTGGGCTGTACCGGCGTCTGAGCTGGTTCAGCTGGAATTCTCGGGGATTGGAGCTCTCCGCTTTGGAGATTGGCCTTTGGCCAGGGATGGGAGTTGAGTTTGTCGCCATGACTCCAGATTTGGTAAGAATTGTGACGATAATGAAGGACTCCTCAAGATGTGGAGAGGATAAGCAAGAAGTATATCAAGCTCTGGTCACGGGAAGTTGTTGACGTCGGTTGGTCCGTGCACCATGGATACACGCTAGTCCTGAAATGGAACTGGTGGGGATGACTCGGCGTGACTCATTCTGTTGCATCCACTTCGCATAACAGATTGACTCAAATGAATCACGGTGGCAAGAGGGCCTCTCCACCTATGGGGAAGGTCTGAGGATGCTGGTCAACAGGGGCAGAAACGATTCAGAGGGGTGGCAATCGTCCGGTATTCAAGCGGATCGCTTGTAAGATTTCCGAGCTAGGTTGGTTACTCCAATGATGTATGACATTTGATGATTAGGAAAAAGGGAGACAATGCCATACGGATTAGAAATCCACGATACAATATGCAGAATTCTCAGAGTCAAAGAATCTATGTTGTCGAATCGGTCGAGTATCGTCAGAATGCCTCGTCCAGTGCATCTCCGCGAGGCACTCAATAAAGATATGAGATGAGTAGAAAGTTCGCCTTTGGCCAATTCCAATAATATGGCTAATACATACACAATTGGTGGCCTTAATGCCAGCTTAAAATATTTAAACAACTACAAATAATCCAACGACAGGTTGTAGAAAGATCATGAAGAATTGATACTCCCATAAACAAGAGCTTCCATGTCTCTATATTTACCAGCCCCAGCCTATGCCAATAAAGGACATGTTCTTGGGCCATTGGATTACTTCGCACAATTTTGTCAGACGTCGACAATGAAACAGTACCTGTTCCCAGAAGACCACACCAAGCAGTCTACATGCGATCTATCATCAGGCAAATAATACGAGTCTCGATACCTTTGTACCCTCTGCATATAGTACAATCAAAGCATCGGAGTATCTCAGATCTCCACCTGCAGATATCATATATCAACGATTGAGTTTGCCTACGACGAACTACAGTTGCAGCCCCGGATCTAGCCCAGTTCAAGGCTAGAATGAATAACGGCAGACGGAAACGCTCAAGAATATTCAATGTCTAGTCAGGGGGGAGCCGATGAGACGTTTGAGATCATTCCACGCCTCTGGCTAGTATTGGTGATCTCAACGGAGATATGACACATCGATAAGATTGACACCCAACACAAGACCTCATCAGCCAAAAGAATTGCAATGTAGGTATCGATGATCAGGATGTGGGCTGTTTGGTTTGGTCCCATCTCCAAACTCAGTACTGCTATATAGCCCACACGCCGACGTTTTGAATCGTCAACAATGAGCTTGATTTCTTGACACCCATCTGAACAGACTAACAAGAACACGTTTACAATACTAGCGAGCTCTTTGGTCACAATACTCGTATATGTGGGAGCTTTGAGATATCGAACCGCCTGGATTTGATACTGAGAGTGCTCAGCTTCTAGAGACTTTTCTTGGGTCGATACAGCAACGCTCTAGGAATTTAACTGTGTAGATTATTCTGGTATTTCTCTTTGATCTTTATATTTGTTGTTGTATATTTTGCTGGAAAAAAAACTCGACGGAACTACACTGGATTACAGCAAGTCAAGCAATTCCACCAAATCCATGGCGATAAAGAAAACATCCCGCCACAAATGATAGCTGCGATCAAATAACGCATTCACTCATAAAAGAAAGACAAATGCCTCCGAGTGGAATGGGTGAGACGTTGTTTCGGAATTGACAACCATCCAGATGTGCAGTGGTCCGACTCGGATCCCCAGCAGTCCGACTCGGATCACCAGCGGTCCGTCCCAGCAGCGCCTCCAATGCGCCCCCACCAAGATAGAATAGACCCACGGTGGTGTCAGCAAAATTGGCTTGATTCCGATTCCCTGAAGTGAACCATATAATGGATCTACACGCTGAACTCGGAATGGTCGGCAAGGGCTTGAACCTGTGTACCAGAATCGCGAGCTAGTCATGAGGTACGGTGCACTACTGTACAGGAGTTAGGGTTAGGTACCAGGAGAAGGGGATGGATGGAATGGGAGAGCCGGGGTGGACTCTCTCCTATTCAGTTCCCCATATATAATCTAGAATCTTTGCGGGATTTTTCATTCCCCTGTCTGCTTTTCCATTTTCCATATCGTTCGCATGGCATAGTTGGTGCTTATCGATCATGCCATCTCTCCTCGTCCCGATGTACGCCGCGATTGGTGCGCTGGTGCTTGTTGTCTTGAATGTCGCGCGTCAGCTGCTGTTTCGCAATCCCAAGGAGCCCCCCGTGGTCTTTCACTGGGTCCCTTTCTTGGGAAGTACGATTGCGTATGGGATCGATCCGTATGCGTTCTTCTCCTCGTGCAGGGAGAAGGTGAGTCTCAACGTGAGATGGTCCAATCCGCCACCGCTAATCAACATCACATGCAGTACGGAGACATCTTCACCTTCATCCTCCTAGGCCAGAAAACCACCGTCTGCCTCGGCATCCAAGGCAACGAGTTCATCCTCAACGGCAAGCTCAAAGATGTCAACGCAGAGGAAGTCTACCGACCCCTCACAGCGCCCGTTTTCGGCTCCGACGTGGTCTACGACTGTCCGAACTCCAAATTCATGGAGCAAAAGAGGTTCATCAAGTACGGGCTCACGCAAGCAGCACTCGAATCACACGTTCCGCTCATTGAAAAAGAAGTCCTCGACTACCTCAACACCTCTCCCAAATTCCACGGCTCCTCCGGCACCGTCGACGTCTGCGCCGCCATGGCCGAGATAACCATCTTCACAGCCGCGCGCGCCCTGCAAGGCGAAGAAGTCCGCAGCAAGCTCACCGCCGAATTCGCCGACCTCTACCACGACCTGGACAACGGCTTCAAGCCCATCAACTTCATGCTACCCTGGGCGCCCCTCCCAGGAAACCGGAGGCGCGACGCCGCGCACGCGCGCATGCGCGAGATCTACATGGACATCATCCGGGAGCGGCGGCGCGCGCAGCAAACAGGAACCCAACCACCCGAGAGCGAACAGACAGACATGATCTGGAACCTCATGCGGTGCACGTACAAGAACGGTGGGCCGCGGCCCGTGCCGGACAAGGAGATCGCGCACATGATGATCACGCTGCTGATGGCCGGGCAGCACTCGTCTGCGTCGATCGGCGCATGGATCATGCTGCGTCTGGCGTCGGAGCCGCACGTCCTCGAGGAGCTGTACCAGGAGCAGGTGGACAACCTGGCTCGTGCTGGCGCAGGCGGAGACGACGACGGGCTGCCGCCGCTGCAGTTCAAGGACCTGGAGAAACTCCCGCTTCACAATAACGTCATCAGGGAGACGCTGCGGCTGAATCTCTCGATTCACTCGCTCATGCGCAAGGTCATGAACCCGCTTCCTGTCCCCGGGACGCCGTACGTTGTCCCGACCAGCCATGTCTTGCTCGCGTCCCCTGGCGCGACGGGCCTCAGCGATGAGTTCTTCCCTGATGCCAAACGGTGGGACCCGCGTCGCTGGGACAGCCGGATGGAGAAGGAAGACGAGGGCGGCGAGGACGAGATGGTCGACTACGGCTACGGGCGGGTGAACAAGGGCACCAGCAGCCCTTATCTGCCGTTTGGGGCGGGGCGCCACCGCTGCATCGGGGAGAAGTTTGCCTACGTCAACCTGGGTGTTATCGTCGCGACCATGGTGCGGAATATGAAGCTCGTTTCTGCGGATGGCAGCAGGGGGGTGGTCCCTGCGACGGACTATTCGTCTCTGTTCTCGGGGCCGATCAAGCCGGCTGTTGTTGCCTGGGAGAGGCGGTTCCCGGGGGCGGAAAATAAGAAGTTGTAATTCTGCGCAGCCAGGCTTGTTGGTAGATATGGATTTAGAGGTGATATTGGCATGAAAGTGATGCCGCGCTCATATGTACTTAATGTAATACCACTTCATTGGCCGATCCAAGTAGTAATTTACTTACTGTAAGCTTCCAGAGCCCTACCCTTGAATCTGACATTTCCATTTGGCCTACGGCGATCCACAGCCGTACTTACTCATCCTTGTCAGCTTCTCCTTGCCAAACTCAAGTCCAACCTGAACGCGCGGGCATGACGTTCTACCAACAATACTCTACCGTAGCAATGATGCTCACCCGATGGCGACTGCACCCCCAACAGCTACTAGCTACTAAGACCAAGTAGGCAGGCAAGTGGCTACAAGTAACCGCACCCCCAACCAACCCTCACCTGTCACAACCCCATGTAACCAAATCCGAGATCAAATCAAATCATGCACAACCACCAAAGAAGCGACGAAGGATGCGATGGACCCATGGATCGCGAGCAGCAAGGTCCCTAACTGGAAAGTACCTGCATCGAACACGGCAGCCCCGTCTCGCACAAAGCCTCGTACAGAAGAAATCATAATCACCATCCATCCATCCATCCATCCGTCACAGACCACAACCACGACCACACCCGACCAGGGGCCCGTCAGACGGAAGAAAGCAGCATCATCTCGCGACAAGACGGCGTAAACCGAATGACAGCCTATGCACAATAGTCGTCACATTCGAGGCGCGAAAGGGGGAACGGACCTCCAGAGTTTGACTGGTGCGTGCTCGTTCAGCCCGTCCCCTCCCTCCCCGCTGACAGCATCCAATGTCGTGTCGAGGTGCCTTTTGAGGCTGAGACGCTGCCAGCTCAGCAGCACCCTCCATGTAACACCCCTTGTCTCTTTGTTAAACAGGGGCGGCTGTATAGGGAGGCGTGTGACCAGGAATCGAAATAAGGAAAAGGCCCGCGGGCCGTCCGTCCCGCCGGGCCACCATCGTCATGGAGGGGGAGAGAGTATAGTGTCTATTTTATATAGCAAACATAGTTAACCACACACCACACATGTATCCACTTTCAATACTTTATGGATGGACAGACGTGCATGGCGGCGTCGATCGACAAGGAGCTAGACTATCGAACACGAGGAGCGGGGCTGTAGGTAGCGACGGAGCAGTTCCCAATATCCAAGGAGTATGCTCCGGGGTAGACAGGCGTGATCTCACGGAGGGCCGTTGCTGTAAATTGTCCGGTCCCTGGGCGACTGATGCGGTCAAGTGTTTTATTTAAATTATATTTCGGTTTCCTTTATTTCCCCGTTTCTTTTTATCTCTATTTTTTTTTTCTGTCAATTTGAGGCGCCTTTTGGTAGACGCGTCGCCTCTCCCGGGGATTAATCCATCATGCATGGGAGAAGAGGAGACCGACAGGGTTCGCTGATGTGATAATCCACGGCATAGATCGGCGCATAGATCGCTAAAACCATATAAGTATAGCAGAGAAGGGGACACAATGCGAGGAGGGGGGAAGGGGGGGAAGCATGGAAGAGGATGACCCTGCGCAGTCGAACTGCCAACGCAGCGATCTGGTGACCCCGAGATATCGATTGATTTAATTTTTTATTATTATTGTTTTTTTATTCATTTTTTTTCTTCGGGTTGAACGAACAACACGCAGTCTTGCATCGATCGTGGTGACCTACCTGCAGCCACTTAAGACAAGGACAATACTGGGAGCTGGGAGGCAGCCTGATTGGGAAGTCCGAATCCCAAAAATATCTCTCATGCACGGTACTTTTTGTTTATTCATTTTCAATTTCATTTTCAGGTTCATATTCTGTCCAAGATTTGATATTCTCAGATGATGCCGACGTGGGACGGATGAGGAGGGATCCTTCGATGAGGGGCCAGACCACCACGTGATGGCCATGTTGCAGACGCCATGGCGTTTATTGGACTGGATGGACTTTGTTCGATGCCCTTTGACCTGGTCGGTCACGGAGGGTGGATGCTATATGATCTCACGACGGGGAAGGAATCCGGAGAGCTGGCCCATCCCCTTGGCCCAAATATGGAAATGATGGGAGGGCGGGCTAACAGTCCGGTCGATAGGTGGCTGGCCCAGTGGTCGAGTGATGTTGAACGCCTGGAGCTTGCTTCCCTACCTTCATCCTCGAAGCCTACCCTCCTTTACCAGATCCGAAGCTCTAGACGGTCCGACAGGAAAACCTATGGTCTATGTGGGTGATGGGAACTCGCAATCCGACGCCTTATTGTCACATTCAACGGCATGGTCATGTTAGACTCCGACGGTCCGAGGGTTTGTCACGTTGACGAACTGTGGTCTGGACGCCGCCAGACGCCCGTCGAAGCTTGTTGCGTCTGTCGTGCCCATCTGGCTGGCGGTGAGTCGATGACAGAGTCAGTCATCTAACGAAAAGGCGATCGAGAAAACCCAGAGGGGGACAATGCCATCATAATTACACGGCGGGATAGCAAAGCTCCTACAGCACGATCCTGATTGCCTGCAGCAGCTACCGAGGCCTCCGAGATGCATGTGTAGAGAACGCCCACCTGCATCATTTGCCTTGTACGACACGAGTCTAATCGACGTGAGTCTGAGAGCGAAACCTGTTGTAGGACATTGACACCATGATATCCGACGTTTTTCACCGTGCTGATTATGACTATGGAGCCGAGGCCGAAGTATCTATCTGGTATGTAATCGCCGTGTCGGGTAACGCATCATACATACACCAAAGATTGAAGCTGCATTAATTACCCCGAACAAACTGGTTTTTGATCGCCCAATGAATCGGCGGATCTCAATATCTCTTCCCCCCTTTCCATTAATCTCGATAAGCCTTCACCCCTCCATCAACCACCACCCCTCAAGCCACACAACCAGATAAAGGAAGAAGCTATTAAAAGGGCAACACAAACCACCCACACATCATCAAGGGGCTTGGGGAGGAATTAACTCAGGGACGGTCTTTCCACTTCCCCGCCAAATCATGACGCCGTCTGGGCCTCCCCCCCGCGCGCACAGAGCTCCAACCAAACTTGATGCAACGTCGCTCTCCACTCCACGAAAATAATCAGGAACTGTTCGACCCACTCTTCCATCAGGATTTTCCTACCGTCCGACCTGGGCCATTCCTTCCATTGTTCGATTTGTATTATTTGGGAATTTTCAAATCTCTATTGGGTTTGGTTGTTTTTAAACAGGCTTATGATCTGCGGGTGCAGCTTAGTTCGACGGGCTATACACTATCGAGCTAGATCCGACCGGGTCGGTCAACTTTTTCAAGTCACCGGACGGTCAGAATTTTCAGGCCGCCAGAGTCATGAGCACGGATTACCGTTGGTTATACTCAGTACTAACTATGGATTAGGAATCGAGATACGTAGACTATCAACCCTTCCAAGACCAACCACTGCAGACAGGTAGTCAACCATAGTCGGTTGATTCTCCTTTCTATCACTAAATCAAAGAGCGAGGTCCCCTCTTGATCAAGACTCCATAAAATAGTGTCAACATAACACTCCCGAACTACTCCTGGTAATCCGACAATCCGTGATACCTAAACCAGCCAGACGCACTAGCCCGCGACCCCGAAGCAAGGGTCAAGAATTCTTTCAACCTTCGATACTTTCCATCGAAACTCTAGCTGCTTTTCTACAGCGCCTTAGCACGAACCTAGCCCGTTCTCTTCATCTCCGGGCAACGATCCATGTCACAAGAGCATGTCTCCAAAAAGCGGAGATATCTCGGCCATTTAGTACATGAAGTAGAGACAGGCTGGCAGAGAAACGAGAGACCAAACGCGGCATAGCATAGCATACATACAGAAGAAGTACGGACTAGGCAGTAAGCGGAGAAAATGACAATAAAAAACCGATCAAGATACGCCTGCATGCAAGAATCAACTCGCTCACTGACCAACTACTACGGGGCCGCTGTCACGAGCCACTAGCTACTATCGTCGCAGTCGGGGACAAATCCCAATCGAGCATAAAAACAGAAAATTAATAGATAATTGAAAAAAGCCACCATTGGGCACCGATCAAATGCAACTCATACTTACTTTTCTCCTCTCTAGCCTAGCCTGTAAACCCTTTACATATCTCCAATTCTCCATTGAGTCCACTATTGAAGTGGGTCAGAACGAATACAACTGCACGGGCGAAGCTGAAGAGGGGTATGAGTAGCGTACGATACAAGCCGAAACGCCCACTCCACCGTGTATTATACCAGACTAGATAATTTATGTAATGATACACTGACTAAGTGGTATCCACCACTAAGTACACCGCCATCCAAATCAGGACAGGCGCATTCTCCGCCTTCTAGAATCTTTTCAAACCCGCACTAGAACCGAGTTTCTATTTTCGATCATTATTTTTTTTTTTAAAAAAAATCTATTTTTCATTTTTCGCCTCTCAATCATCATCCGACCATGGAAACATTTACATTCAAGGGAATAATCCCGCTCTTGACATATCTGTGGCGCCAAGGCACAAGCGATCCATATCCTGGGGTTTGGTAAGTTCAGGAGTATACTTTGAATGAGACTTTGGCCAGCTGTGGCGTCGATGACAACCGGTTGATATCTGACTGTTCACGTGGCCTGTCAAAATTCGATCGGCCGAATCAGATGAGTGGGATCTGTGCATTTGATCTTGGATAACATCATAGTTGGGATGTCAGTAGGTATCATTACGTACATGGGTTTTCTTGGCTGTTTTTTCAGTGTGGATGCCGTATGTAGTATGTAGTATGTCTAGCCAAGCCGTCCCAGTCTCAGTGCCGGTCCTCAATTACATCTTTTAACAGTGACTCATTATGGGGCAAATAATCGATGCTGTTATCTAGAAATTGCTGCCCAACAGTTTTCATTGGCATCATCTTTCGGAAGGCAAGCTGCGAGGCATATCCCGCAAGCTAAGACGGAGATAAAACCGGCTAGGATTTCATTCGCTTGTAGATCCTAGCCTGGAAGCAAGCCGGGCGGTCTATTGGGTGTTCTAGATTTTGCAGATGCGCTGTTAAGTCGACACGGCTTTGCTAGTGCCGCGCCGTCGGAGGGTTTCAGCGCGTGGCAGTGGCGGTAGTGTCGGCATGCCGAGCGCG